TTATCGATAAAATGTAGCAGGCTATTTAAACGCTTAGGACATTAAAAATGTTCATTCATTCTTAAGAGAGAAAAAAGATTTTATTCAATAAAAAATTTTCGTAGTTAAGAGATTAAAGTTTATTTTTAGTTTAAATTTAAAATTTCTAAAGGTGCAAATTAATTTTAAAAACTAAAATTAATTATTTTAATGAATATCATCTCAACATTGGATTAACAGAATGCAATACTTTAACGCTTTGTGATATTAATAAATTAAGAAATGATTAAAATGAGTTGTTTGGTCTACCATCTAATTTCTAGTAGGCAGACAGAGGCTACAGTTATTTTAACAAAATAATCATTAAATAAATAATGTCAGTAGCTTCTTAGTTATGCTTTTTGGCCGTAGTAAAGTGTCGCCTGCTAATGTGTGGACCATTTCTTTTAGCTTGAAGAAAACTACTCCACAAAAAATAAAAGGCCCCATGGGAAACATTAATAAAATGCTCCTTAACTCGCCTCAATCAATCTTGAAAAGTTAATTCGTTAAAACATTTGCAAGTCAATCCGGGCGTCCACAATGGCGGCGATTTGTTTTCTTTAATGAACCAACCGGTGAATTCGACACTGACGCGCAGTGTTTTGTAGAGGCGAGTCATTAGCCAATCGCTGGAGTGATCTCCCCTCACCAACCCGCCTCTCCGCGCTGGGGCTGTTGTCTTTAATTTGAGCCAGATGACGATAGGCGTCGTCGCTTGGCGCATCGGCGAACTAAAGAATTCCAAAAAAAAAAAAAGTTTAGAATTCTGTGATTACACACTGTATCGGAGTAAATTCTGGTCCTAATTCTATAGCAGCGGTACAGATTAATTTCCTCCCCCTCCACCTCATTATAAAATTGTATTGCTCTGCCGAAAGTCATAGAAATTTAATCCTAAGCTTAATACAGATGAATGACAATTTTAATTTGATGTTTTGAATATTTGGTAGCCCCTACAACTATACATGCATATCCCAAACCTAACCTCTACTGTTATGCCCTGGCATTAAGCATAATCCCAGAGAAAAAAAGTAATCTGTTTTGGGCAGAGTAGATTAGTACAGAACAGTTACAATGATCGGAGGAGGTGGGGGGCGGAAATGGTAGACGTGCTTTTTAAAAGTATAAAAACTCAACGCACAATTTAAAACCAGGAACATAAAAAGAAGATGAATACGGTATTCCGACACACCGATTCGCTGGCACTACTGAAAATTGCATAGCTCAAAAAAGTCCAGAAAACACCGCCATTAATCAGTCGTGGGGTTTCTTTTAGGTATTTTTCTTCGAAGGGGAGGCTGGGGCGGACGCTAACTACAATATATATTTTCTATATAATTATTTTCCATTTCTCTCCTGGGGGGGGGGGGGGGGGGGAAGGTGGTATGGTATGGTAGATGTACTCAGAATGGTAATGCCCCCCACCCCTAAAATGCCTAAAAAAAACTGTTTGTCGTTTCAGAGATCGTTGCTGTTTGTTTCAATTTCATTTTTTAAAATATCTATATGAAGAATTATTTTTTTTTTAGATTCGTCCTATCGCCGCAGGGTGCTAATTAATACGCGTCTGATATTTTCTGATTGGATTAGCCCTGATCGAAGACAAAACGTGGGACAAATTGCTGGATGATTAATGCGTGGCTGGGTGTTGTCCAGCATTGATTAGAACCGGGAGACCCGAGGTGACACCCTCTCATTATGCCACTATAGCCACTCCGGTTCAAAACTCATTCCAAATCCATTTATTTGCTTTAAAACTTTGGTGTAAAAAAATCTGCAATTAAGACTCTTTAATTTAAGAGGAACAACTTGCGATATGGGTGTGGATTTTACTTTTAGAGTTAAAAAAGGATATTTTAAAAATAAACGAATTTTGCTGTATGCTTAAATTTTAAACTACCTGAAAAGTTGTGTAGTTCTATGAAGTCTTTTTGATTCGTATCCAGTACATGGCTCGTGACCTTGATTCAGAATTTAATTAAGAATCAGAAAAATAATTACTTGAGTAGGATTAACAGGCAATTAAGTAGTGTCACGAAATATCCATAAACATGACTTAGGGCTAATTTAATTTAGTATTCAACAATATTCTATCAAATAAATGTTTCCTATGTTTAGTTTCCAAGACAATTGTAATAGTAATGTGTAATTTTACAATCTTAGGTATTTAAACTAAATATTTCTTTAGCTGTTATGTCACGATGACATTTTGACCGGGGTTTCTTTCATTTTTCTCCGTTTAAAAATTAATTTAACTTCTGGAGTAGGGGACTTGACACTTTTGGTATTTCATAACAAAGGCGCACTTCACCATAGCTGACTCAAAATAATTAACCTTCTTTAAAAATATTTTCTACAAATAGCAATTGAAATGCTGCATTATAAAAGAAAAACAGCATTACGAAACAAAATACGAAACATTAAACGTAGGTCTAGCATATTCTAGATTTAAAAAAAAAACTCGTTCAACATAAATTTTGAGTTTTTAAAAATTGATGCCGCTTTTTTTAAAGTTCTAAAACTTAAGGGGTCACTTCCCTTGCCACGAATAGACAGTTTATCTCCCCTTAATTTTTTCCCCTTTTTTTCATGTATGTTAATGGCCCGGTTTGTCAACCTCCCCATTTTCTGATTAGGAGAAAGCCTTCGACATCATTCACGCAGCGGTATTTCCCGGTTCTAGTTTTTACCCCCTAGTCTTTCGATTGAGAAAGGGCGTCTTAAAATTGAATTGGCAGGCCCCAGACTAAAAGGGGAAACTACTCTAGGGTTGATTGAGAAAAGGGGAACAACAGCGAGGGTCAATATGAAACGGCTTAGGGACCCAACAGAGAAAAGGCGTGTTTCGAAGGCAATCCTTTCATCGCCGGTGATTGGATGTATTAAATAAAAAGTATGCACTGGCATCGCTCGAAGCTTTTGCTGAAAGAAATGGAGTTATCTGTTCTTGGGTTTCTATCGCGACTCACTGAATTGTCTTAAAGTAAACGGAGGCTCAGTCTCACGCGGTGCCCCCCCCCCTCCAGCAGTTGTCTGTAGCTAAAAGTCTGGAAAACTGACAAAGATAATATCGATTTTAACATTTGTCCACTTCTCTTTCAAGAAATAATTTTTTTTAACCAAAAAAAAAATAAATACAATTTTTTAATTTTTAAGATACAATATGACGAGTAACAGAATGACCATAATGACAGCAAAGTAAACAGAAAGTGATATTTCAACGCCAAGGGTAGACAAAGGTACAGAATATAGTCCAAGTAGAGAAAGAGCAGTCTTAACCCCAACGGGATTCGAACCTACCAATGCACGCGACACCAAATGTTTGGTTCTTAAATGACTTCACGCTTTTTTGGACTTCTTCTTCTTCGTTCTTAATTATTAGTGTTGAAGGGGATCGAGATTTATCTGCCAGTGGGTTTGAACTCGAGACTTTGTTCGAATTTATCAACCATGAGCTTTTTGCCGACTCGACCACGCCTCCAACACAATTAAGCGGTACGTGTCAACTGGTTTTGAGCCATTGAGGTCGTTGACTCCGATTTCAGCCTGCTTTTCGTTTTGGATTTGCTTCCATAGCTTTTGTCCAACTAAGAACAAACTACAAGGCAGCAGTTGTTTAATTTTGGAGTTGTCTCTCCTAGAAGAGTGGCTGTCCTCATCTGCCCGAGGGTTCGAACTCGAGAATTTTCGGTTTAGCAACCATGAGCTTTACCGACTCGACCACGCCGACCCCTGCGATTTTACCTTCCCCGCATCGTCATAAAAAGCCAGACATCAGCCTACACCACCTCCCCCCCCCTAAATTGCAGCTATCGAAAATGCAGCATAACAGCTAACATGAAGTTTTAAACAATACTTTTTTATAAATGAAACAGTATGTCACACTTTCTGAACAACCACCCTCGCTTCGGTTCATCACAAAAAAAATCGCACCTCCCCCTTCCACCATAGGAGTATGACGTAATTTATAGATGACCATTTTGTATGGATAAACTTCAATTAATATTAGTTATTTATTTTACAACCATACATATTTTGAGTTTTAAATTTGATCTTCATTTATGGGCTGTATTTATTGGCTTGTATTTAAGCCACAGGTTAGCAGCATTAAGAACAGAAAATTTGTATACAACATATTCATGTTATAAATATTCAAAATACTTTTTAACTATTTTTTAATGGGCCTACATTTTTGTATTATAATTATATACACAGATATAGGCCTAAAATTAAAACATATGCACTGTCATGAGTTTGTTTAGCGCTGCCCTTTAAATTGTTTAAAATCAAATTAAATAATGCCATGGAGGTTCAGTTTAAACAACAGTACCATTTCTTTATGCTTTCTATAGTTGTTTTAGTTTTAGTGAAAATAGTTGTAATGGTTTAGAAATAAATACTGATGTAAAACAGGAGTTATGAACCAGGTTGCTAATTTCAAAATACAAATGTTGAAAAAATAGCTGACTATGGCTGGTTATCTGGAAAACAGAATTGAAGTATTGGGAGAGTATGCAATGTTATCGGTAGTGGTGGCATGGGCAGGATTAACAGGATGAGGGCAAGGTGGGGTGTGGTTAATCATTGTTTCCGCATATTTATAACATCATTAACACAGACTGTATGTATTTATGTTTACAATTGTTATGAAATATCTGTAATTTTGGGGTTCTATGTGGGGGTGGATGGGCAGAGGTAAGACTATTCCTTGCAATTGAAGTGATTAATTAAACCTATTTAACAGAAATTAAGCTACTTTTTATATTAAAAATTAGAAAAAAAAGGTCGTCGCATTTACAATTGTTAATGTTGATTTTTTTCTCAGGTAACACCCCATCAAATAAATATGTAAACTATAACACTCAACAGTAGTGAACACATTTTTAACCAACCAACATAAGCAAAATAAAAAAAACAAAACAAAACATCAACAAACATGTAACACAACACAAAGTTAAAAAAGCAACAACTCATTTTATGTTAATGTATATGAAAATTTTGTTGGCGATTTTGCAAAGTAAACGTTCATACATTTGTTATTTTGTTTGTTCATCAGTCCGTTAAAAGAAATACAATCCATCTGAATTATGTACAGGATATTCCAACATTGAGGCTGAGGACAATTCCAGTACAGTCATGCAATCATGTGACCTACTTTGTTTACAGTTAAAAAACAATGTTTTAAACGTAGGCTGCAGACTGTACTAATGGAAAAATGCTGAAGATTGTTAGATAAATAAATAACCATGAAAAAAAATTAATTGACTAAAACCTCTTTAAGTTTCAAATTTTTACATAAAGCATATCCAAGTAAAAGTTTAATATTTTATTTCTAAAATAGATTAACTAACTTAATACATTCATTGTCATTGAGTTAATTTTAATAATCAAACTTAATATAAATTGTAACTTCTTATTAAAATCGAACTAGATTGAGTTATAAAAATTTGAGTTTATCTTTTAAAACAAATTTTTAAAAAAAAAGATATTAACCGAAAATAATTTAACTTAGGATGTAACTTCATTTTTTTTTCAAGACAAAAAAAAAAGGAAAAACAAATTAATGCACAAAGAATTAATTTTTTCTCTAAAATTCAATTTATAATAGTATAAAGCTTCTACTTCTACCTAACAATTCATTCAATCTGCAACTACCAACCATGAATAATGGGGTGTCATATGAATCTGAAACCTTACTAATAATATCATAGGTTCTTAGCATGGCTGGTAAGTTACTATAGTAATAGACAGATAGTTGCCATAATATTTGTTCTAGAAATTTTTAGGTAAAAATACATTTTCAAAATAATTTTTTATTAAAAACATAAGTTTAAATTTATGTCATAATTTAAAAAAAAATAAACAGCTAAAATGTAACATTCCCCCGCCCAGAGATCCACTAGATTTAACTTAAAAATTATAAAGCTAAACATTTATTGACTTCTTTACTTCTTTTTGTTTGTCTCAAGAGAGGAGCCACAACTGGGTAAGATTGGAACCATGGAAGAACCAATGCATGTTAACTTTCATCTGGGTGTTTCAAAGCCTGGCGTGTCATGGCTTCTCCGTCCTCTTTATCTTGTCGGTGCCGTCTTCTCTTGGCGAGTGAAGGAGTTCCATGATGAGGCACAAGTCTGTCTCCTCATTGCTGCTGTGTTGATAGTTGTTAAATAGTGGGGAAAAAGAAGAACAACAAACTTTTAGTAACGTAGTTTTTATGGATTTGGCTACAACAAATAAACTAGCAACTTGCAGATTAAATTCAGTTGTATAAAAAGAAAATTGTGAAATAAATATAACTAGAAAAACAAATTCAAATAATAGAATTTCTAAAAATTTCAAATTTTGTAAATATATTTTTAAATATAAGAATATTATTGCAACAGATTATCGACATTTGAATAATACATTTTTTAGAATGTTTACAACTTTAAAATAGTAAACATTTTTTAAAAATTAGAGCTTTATGAAAACAATTGTACAGAAGAATGTTTTAAAAAATAAAATAAAACAACAGTGTATAATAGAATTAATCATTTTTAGTCAGGGTACACTACTCACACCATGAGGACAGTTGACAGATTGTCTTCTCCTGCCAGTAAAGTTGAAAATTAATTTTTTTTTCTTCAACATCATTACTGACAGAGCAATGTTCAGTATCTAAAACCATAACCAGCATGTCAATAAGATGTGACTATTACGCCCACAAGTCACAAACATTTGTATGATAATCTTATGCAATAACCTAACAGTTTTCTAACATACTGAAAGTCACGGGATAGAATTGACTAAATTAAGTAAAAGCACTATAATGTAAAGAATCATAAGTATAGACTAAAAATAAAAAGTCTGCTTTTAACATGTGATTAGTTTGATACACAAACAGACAGGATAAAAATGAATAAGTAAATAATCATTTGTTAATGAAATACTGTATAACATCATTCCATCAAATAATAGTTAATTAATATGACAAGTGACATGCATTTTTAAAAGTTAGTTTTTAACCTAAGTTTACATGCATCACAACCTAAACTCAATTATGTCTTTTCTGATAAACAAAAATATTTGTAAATTGGAATAACATTTTAAAAAGTTGCTAAGTAAATAGTATAAATGCAAATTAGTCAAATTACTATTTTAAAAAAATCACAAATTACAACAAAAAAAGGTTTTAAATACTTGAGCACTTTTCACATTTAAATTATACATGTATTTCTTGAATATAATATATAAGAGGTAGTAAATTGGCTATTCTGATGAGTTTTTTTTAAATTTTAAAGTCAAATTAACAAAGAGTTTGAATTAACTTGTACCATGGGATCAAACATTTTCATGCAGATTAACATTGGTTACTTAGTTTACATTTTATGAGGCAGAATTTTTTATTTTGTAATGGAAATCAAAATATTTAAAACTATTGTAATAAATAGATCTATTTTTCTTCTAAAAGTTTCACAAAGAAAATGCATAGTATTTGTTCACACTTTGACATTGAAGCTAGATTAGGTTTTTTGTTTTGTTTTAATGCTTATACCCTCAACTAAATTTCAAAAACAAAAATACAAAGTAGCCAAATTAGATGAAAATGCACAATGCATAAAGGTTTAGTTTTGGTTTAGGTTAAAATATAAAAATTTAACACAGATGCAGGGGGTATGTTCTTGAGTTCCATGCCACTAAAACTACATCATATATCGTCCACACAACTTAGTGTCTCACTGAAATAGATGTTAAAAGAATAAATTACTGGTGTAAATAATGCATTGTCTAATTATCACAACAAACAGTGAAATAGGTTCAATATTCCTGAGTGTATTAAAATTAGTAATATCAATAATATATCCTCATGCTGTGTAAGGTATCACTGTTAAGTAAATATTCCAATAAACAAAAACACTGTTAAGTAAATATTCTACTAAACAAAAACGCTGTTAAGTAAATATTCTACTAAACAAAAACGCTGTTAAGTAAATATTCTACCAAACAAAATATCTGTGGTGGTGTAAGCAATAGGCAACACGAAAAAGTTCAGTCAAATTTTTTTTAAAGGTAGAGAAACTGGTTGTTTAACTTAATGCAGAAGTAATTTTAAAAATTTTAAAATTCACCTTGCAGTTTATTTAGATTGAATTAATAATTTTCTTTTTATTGAATATAAACTTTAAATGAATTTTAAATTTAAAAAAAAAATGGAACTTAAAAAAAAAAACAGATATAAGGAGAATTGAGCTATTAAAAATAATTTAAAAAAAAACAACAACTTAAGAACGAGTTAACTTTAAATTAATTTTTAACATAAGTGGTTCTCACAAATAAAAATAATTGAATCAGCTAATAATGAAAACTAATTCTCCAAAAAAAATAGATTATTAAAATTGTATTAATCTTTTATTTGACAAAATAACATTCTGGGAGTAGAATATATCATGCTGTTATATTTGGCTGCAGTCCAAGTATTATTGAACAAAACATACGGGTTACATGGATCAAGCAGACTACTATAAATCTTTAAAAAAGCTGTCCTTTATTAGGGCATTAGGGAATTTAAATTCTAATGATTAGGCTTGCTGCAGCTGTGAAGGTATCTAAACCTTCTTTGCAAAAGAGTTCTAGTCTTATAATTTAGTAGAGACACCATAAAATGTGGGATCGGGCAACTTAAATATTTTCAAAACAATATATGTTCACATTTGGAAACCAACAAAGCTATCGTAGAGCCATGTCCTTTATTCAGAGCTTTGCATGGAACACTACAAGCACACGCAATACCACTGGAATGTCTCACAACAAAATTTTTAATTACAATTTCAAACATTTACCTAAAATGCCAGTTAAGGAAATGTAACGATTCATAACTTTTTTTCTGCTTTAAAACCTGTTCAGTTTGTCTGCGTTAATACAGCTATTTCTATCAACTTTAAATTAAGTCATTTTAAATGTATATATATATATATATATATATATATATATATATATATATATATATATATATATATATGACTTTAGACCTTATGGCATGAAACATAAGCACACGCTAACATCAACTAGGTAAAATTAATTCCTGTAAGGGTCCAGCTCGTTTGTACCTGGCTACATATGGCGGGTGATCTGATGAGATGGAGTTGTACTTTTTTAAATAGGGGAGGTCAATCATCTCTGGCTTGTAGCGAGGGAGGAAGTACACCCAGCATTCCTTGATCTCTGGTGGCTCGATGCTGTTGCCCTGGCTGTCCTCGTACATGAGGATTTCTGTCTTTTTTCTGTGGTAAAAGTCTGGATGACATTCTAGTTCATCAAGGGAGGCTAACTTAGGCTCGTCAACTTCATATATTTCACCTTGTACATTCTGTAGAGCAAAATAAATTTAAAATTATAAGATGTCCTATGATAATTCTGAGCAGCACTTAAAAATGGTTTATTAGCAAAGTAAAAGAATAAATCTTTAAAACAAAAGATCTCGTATAAAACTTCAGTTAATGAAGTTTAAGATTACAGTAATATGGATTCAATACTTGTTAAAAGCCAAAATGGGTACCTTATCCCAAGTAAAAGTCATAATGAGTACCTGAACTCAGTTTCAAATATATAATTGTTACCTGAACTCTAGTTCCAAGAAATGATTGTCACATAAACCCTAGTTACATATCTTAATGGGTACCTGAACCCTGTTTCAAATATGTAATTGTTACCTGAACTCCGGTTTCAAGAAATGATTATCACATAAACCCTAGGTACATATCTTAGTGGGTACCTAATGAGATGGAGTTAAAAACCAGGTCTGTAAATTGTAATTTAGTGGCCTACTGTCATTTAATTAAACTATTAGCTTCACTGTCCTGTAGTTTTTGGTCTGGATTTATCTTCAAATCACTACATTACATCACAGCAGGGGAGTGTAGATTGATGGTTGATATAATGTGAACACACTGTGAACCTACTGCCCTGTAGCATATCCCAAGTGCATAGCAACTTATAAACAAACAAAAAATAAGGTAATAAAACATGAATTAATAAAAATAAAAAAATTGTCAGTTTTAGTTACCTCTCCTTTCCCTTCAACCAACAGTAGGAAAGGTACAGCGTACTGGGATGCAACTACTAATGGATAACGTTTAACTGTTTCTCCTACGCCAACAAATGTTGATCTACCTTTTGATGGGTTGTTCATTACTTCAAAATTGGGTTCACCAGATTTCAAAGTTCCATATGAGAAAACAAGATGTGTTGTGGCCATACCTGTGTAAGATAAAAAAAAATACTGAATAACAAACACAACACAAATTTTCCAAAAAAAAAAAAGTTTAAAAAAATTAACTCTTGGTCGAACAGTACAGGCATTAAAAAATGAGTCATTTTTAAAATCTTTCTTAACCCACTATAGCCAGAGTAAATACCGCTGATAAATATTAATGGACAAAATGTGCTATAAAAAAGATATAAAACATTTCATGTCTTAACATCAACTTTAACACTAGTCTTGACATAAATATATATTATATCATACAACTCTAGTTGTGCAAAGGAAAAGCGGATATTATCAATCATGCAAATGTTATCATCAAATAAACAATTTTTTTAACAATTTCAGCAAAAGAAATACAATTTTAAGTCAATTAAAATTATGTATCATGCTATTTAATTTCTTTTACAATATGATTTTTGAAAAAAACAAAATAGCTCTAACTGATCTACTTTTTGTTAAGTTGCGTCAAACTAACAATATGAGATTTCTATTTCAATCAACACTATTAATTCTAGTAGGTCAAAATGTACACAGTAAATAATTATAATTATTATAGCTAGTGTGAGCTCAGAGTTTAAACAATGAAGCTCAACAATTTAATACATACTCAGCACAAATATACCTGCATCTATTTGACTTATCAGTTTGTTAATACATATGTACAAGAAGCATTCGTTAACCATATTTTTTTTAAGTAGCTGTGAAGGACAAAAAAAAAAGCTAACTATAAATAGCAAGAGACTGCCACATACTGTGTATGAAATTTGAATTAGACTGCCATGCACTACTACACCACTCATGAAAGAGGTAACTCATCTACCAGAGCAACTCTCTCTCTCGTCACTTACTTTCACTAAAGTTCCTCTGACAAGACTTGCAAAATGATTCGTCCTTTTACCTGGAGCGAAAGCCGGGACAGGGAAAACAGTCTTCCACATACGCCCATCACTTGCTCCTTACTGTTGATCACTAAATTATTATTATGCATGTCAAAAGTGTATAATACTGTCCATTTATGATTTTCTCCCTAACACAAGCTAAACGTAACTGGATTATAATTTTCATATAAATAAACGAACAAATTAAATATATTTTAATTATTTTACCATAATTTCACATTTGTATATCACTAGCAATATAAATTTGTAACATCCAAAGAAATGTAACATCACTTAAAAAGGCTGTTACAAAAAATTGACAATATTAAATTTAAAAAAGGAATGATAAGACAATCGAAACTTTGTACTTCTCACATAACACATTATGCTTGTATTCTTTTTAAACAATTTGAACATCAGCAAGAAACCAGAAAAAGATGCAGTACTCACTCCAAACACAAAACATACCCACAAAAAAACAGATAAAAGATCTGTTTTGTAAGAAGTTACCAGTATCATTAAAAACTTACTAGTAAGTGTAATAAAAATATTCATAAGCACTGAGTGAGGATCAATGAATTAGTGTACTAGCTTACTTTAAACAAAGGCAATTATTAAGATTCTTGTTAATATATAGGGGCCTTTATAGAAATATATAGAGAAAAAAAGATTTTCTTAGGGCTAGGTTAAGTCAATTACTAGAGTTCGGGACTCATGTAATGATAAAGCTAGGCTAGGCAATTAACCCTTGGATTATTAGTCTTACAGTTACAGAGAATGAAGTGTATGACATGAAGATTTAGTTAAGATGAACTGATAACCAACACATAACTTCAATTGTCCTTACTAGACTTAAAATTTTAAGTGAAGTGTAAAATTAACAAGGTAAAGTTTAGCTGCTAAACATATGACTTTATACACAACAAGGATTATTTCAAATAGTTATTGGTGTGGATGTTTTTTTAAAATAAAATGTTTAGGTCACTCATGAAATACTTTAATTAGTAACTAACGAATTAGCCAATTAATTATTAGTAGGTGGCTTAATGATAACAAACTGTTCTACCCGACCAGTGACTGGCTGAGTCACAGTGAGTGTACAGTGCACATGTTTTAGTAAGTGTAGTGTTACATCAGTGTAGTCATGTAGTGTAGATTTATTCTAGTATTTTTATGCCAGTACACTCACAGTTCACACACTTGGGTCAATGTACTGAATTTTAAAACTATGCTACTGACTTCTGAATAGGCCCAAGAATAGATCTTGATCAAGTAATTTAGTAAACAAGTCTATTTACTTTACTCTACTAACTACTTAGATTTTTATATATGTCTTGCTCTATTATTTATAAGCCATTCAATGATTCAATGGGTATTACTCCATTTTAGCATATTATATTCGCAGCTTGACTTTACCTCCGGTTGAGCGTTTTTTATTACAAACACAACCGAAACACAAAAACTTTAAGAAAACATTAGGATTAGATCTAGATATGTGTCTTAATTTGAAAAGGTAAAAATTAAAAAACATTCTAAATGTAACTATCAGCATATACAGTTCATCAGCGGGAGAAAAATCCCTGCATGCGCGCGGGTTCACCATGAGTTCACATTGACTATAATTATCAGCATACGTAACAAAAGTATAGTATCATGTGTGTGTACTTTACCCATCTCCTAACATTTGTGTGTGTTTTAGTATATACTAACTAAACTTTCTGAACTAGTGAACTAAACAGTATCTAGATCTAGATTCTAACAGTAAGTCTGAGTAAGTAAACTGAACCAAACTTGTAGATCTAGTAAACTTTGTCTTTTACTTTACTACTTTATTTATTTAGTTTAGTAAACTCGTCACTCTTCAGAACTTTCACTTCACTGTGACTTCACTCTTTCTTACCTTTGTGACTCAGTTTGTGACTGTTTATTAAAAATGACAGACGAAGTATTAGAGATCTACTAAAATTTTCTGAATTATATTTTGCAAACCAAATTATATAGCGTAAATAGGTCTAGGTAGATCTAGAATATAAAATGTAGAATAGATTTAAAAACTTGTAATGATCACTGATGCCAATCACATTACAATCTAGTGAATCTAGGCCACTCATTCATGTATTTTAGTTACTCACAGGGAATATTAACACACTTCCGGTAAAGTATAAAGCAATCGATAATTTCAATTCTGTTTAGACCCCAGGGGGTCGTCCCTAAATGGCGTCAAACTTTAAAAAGAGGACACCCCCCCCCCCCCTCTTATGAAGTGGCTGACGTTGTCACATAAGAAAAATCGAAAAAAAAACAACATGGTCAACAATTATTTACCTACTGAAAGGGACCCTGGTTTAAATTGTATAATTTCTATTTAGATTATGCTCTTTAAAATATTTTTTTTTCTTTTTTTTTGTTTCTATTTTGTTCGAGGAAGGTGACCCCCCCCATGTGATAGTCTACTCAACTCAACGCATTAATAACAACTGATGGTACGAAGAGGCATAGCGAGGGGGGGGGCGGACCGCACCGGGTGACACCATTTAGGGGGTGACACCAAGATAAAAAAAAAGGGGTCGTCCATAAATGACGTCACGCTCGTAGGGGGGAGGGGGGTCCGTAATTTTGTGACGGTGTGTGATGAGGGGGAGGGGGGGTCAGATGGTGCGACGTCACACTTTTGCATTATAAAAAAGCCATGTTAGAAAACTAATTTTAGACGCTATTTCGCGTTTTAGACAACTGTTTTAATAAATTGTAATAGGAATTGATTAAAATTCTCTATATAGACAGAGTTTAGACAAGATTTTAGGGAAGCTTTGCACCCGACCTAGAGACGCCACTGATTGTACGGCTTATCGATACGCAGTAATAGCTCATATAATTTTGCTTTGCGTGCAGGTCTACCCACCATCCGCACATACACATACTTTAGACATATTAACAACACATTTACGACGCTATAAAAAAATATCCCACTTACTGCGATTTGTGTGAGTCACGTGATTGCCTTAAAGTAACCGAGAGACTATTTGTACTTGCTTGCACTATTTGAAGCAGGAATTTCTTACAGACCGTGTAACGTGTCCTAACTTAGAGCTTTAACCCTTTATTTACGGAATTATGTTCTGAATGAAATTTTTTCTTAAACAACGTGTTATCATATTGCTTATGGCACATTTAAAGCATATGTCAAAGGAAATTTCGTTTAATAAATTTTTAATGGCCCAAACAGATAGTGGTACTTATAAGTACCGTCAGGAATGTAGGACATTTTTTCCAAAAAAAATTTTTTTTACGAAACAGGAACAAACGATACAACTTATTAACTAATAACATGGCAATCATTATAACCGTCATTTTTTGTAATTTTCACATATAAATACAGCACAAAAGTATATTTTGAGTACGATTTTTATTGGATTTTCTATCGGAACACATCTTAGACCTCAAACACAGCAAAAGTTGCCGACATGTCATGCTCCCTCTCTTGTCTGTGGTCATTCTGGTGTAGCAACGGTTGCCGCACTGAACATGCTTTTGCTGGAAGCTTCCAATAGCTATTACTTACAATGAGCCGCATAAACAAACAAAAGCCTAGTCATTCAGTACACAACTACTAGTAATACTAGTATAATTGTAGCCTACTAGAATGTTATGACAAGTCTACACTACAGTGCAAAGTTCATAAATAGAAGTGAGCTCAATGTGTTTAGGATAGCCGAAGTGGCCTACTGTTTCCTGGTTACGGATTACAATTTACCATAGAGATCTATACTATATGCAGAAGTGTCGACTATTACTAGTCTACAGATATACATTACGTAAATACTAGTTATTGTAGGCAAGATAGTTTATTGCAGTAAATATAACTAACAAATTAAATCTTACTACTAGAACTAGGCTTTGGTATACAAATGAAGTATACTAAACCTAGTAAACGAGCCTTCAACTGCTACCTTTATTCTTGTTACTGTTTTACTACTAGAAATTAACATGTAATTATAATATTTCTTAGGTAAACCATATGCTAACCTTCTTATAAATGTGTAAATATCATTTTTTGAGTACATTTCGATAATTAATTATCAAAATAATATTTATGTCACTCCACATCGAAAATCTGCCATTTCCTAAAAATCTTAAAAAAATGTCCGCGTGCCCTGACGGTACTTATAAGTCCACTTGTAAACGTCGATCTAATACAAAGACAATTTGATTAAAATTGTATAACTAGAAGTTAAACACGTTTGCCTGACTATTGGAGATGCCAATAAAAAATATTTGGGGATGAAAACTTCAAGAATAAGGTAAAACAAAAGGAAATCAGGAACGTGTGTGAGAACGTTACAGAACAATTGTAAACTACCGATACAGAAAGACATTGAAATTGGCGCCATACCAAAAATTTTCAAAGTACATCAATCCCTACAACTACCGGCTACTCAGGGGAGATAATACTATTAATTACATCAATAATTTTTAACATTCGTATTAAATTAAAAATTATACAGGCTCTTAATTAAAGTGGTACTTATAAGTACCGTCAGTAGATAAAGGGTTAACCAGCAGTTATGCTCAGTGGAGTAGGCATGATCTGGGAAAAGTGAGGGGGGGGGGGGGGGGGGGGGTTAGGTAAATAATTTCCGCAAATAGTGTAAATTAACGCCTTGTATTATAAAACTACCTCTATAACTAACAATCTAGTTGCAAATCTGATAAAAGCTAATTAGCTCATTAAAATGACTTTGAAAGATAAAGCATGGTAATTTAAAAAAAAAAAATTAACGTATTCTCTGATGCTCTTTGAACGTTGGACACAAACGTCACAGTCGATAATGAAAAGGTGTCATTTGAAACTTGCACTGTGGTTAACAGTGTCTTCAAGCCCCCCCTCCCGGAGAAAAAAGTCTGGAAGAAAAACTAGTGGTTAATTTTTTCTGAAGTTCATAAATAGGGACCTACGTCAAGTTATTAACTCATCCTGTATAGTTTCACCCTAGGCTTCTTTCAGACATTTTTCTCGGGGAGGGGACGGCATTTGAAGCCTCTAGGAGGGGGAGTATGCGGACACCGGTTGAAGTAAACATATATCTCTATATAAATAAAAGTATGTGTGTCTGTGTGTCTTTTATGCATTACCACACCTTTTATCCAATCGCCATAAAACGTTGGGAAGGTTTCTGTAATAAATAAACTTAACATATATTCGCCCTCAGGCGCCCACATTTGTTTTTAAAGATAAGGAGCTTAGATAATTGGTTGGTTTCCTTTGTCCATAACACATTTCTGGTATAAGATAAACTAAACGTGGGATGGGTTCTGGGGGGAGGGGGTCTTAAAACATCCGGGATATACACGAATTTCCCTCCGGCTGGGGTCAATTGATTGGGCGTCCAGCACAGGAGGCAGGGGTGCAAACTGTAACACGGTGTCCTCCGCCGCCCACGCGGGCATGTGACCGGGAGCACCCTGTGGCCACCCTTAACACTTTGGCATCTATATTTGTTTTAAAGACCGCCCTACACTAGGAATTCGATGGGACACTACAATCAGTGGCGTAGCGAGGTCGGATGTCACCCGGTGCGGCACTTAATGGTGTCACCACCCCCAGGGGCGTAGCGACTCTTCCCGGGGACAAACTTTCAATTTTCGATTTGCACCCCCCTCAAACTTTCGTTTGCACCCCCCTCAAACTTTTCTCTATATATTTTACTATGCTTTGGTGTCACCCCCCTAAATGGTGTCACCTGGTGCGGTCCGCACCCCCCGCCTCCCTCGCTACGCCTCTGACTACAATATTACTAAACCGAAACAGGGTGGCGGTAGCTCGACATGTGGCTCCTACGAGAGTCCTAAGCTATGACAATCCTTACATCTGGGCTCTTACTCACTGTGCGTGAACCCCCCCCCCCACCCCCTCGAAGAGATGCCTGGAAGAAACTCTATCCCAAAAAAAGCGTGACTTCATTTATGGATGACTCCCCCCCCTATTATACAACATAGCAAGGGTTGGCATGTAAGTTAAGTTAGTGTAGTTTAGATATTACTAAAGTATAAGTCTATTAAAATGTATTCAAACTAGTAGAATGCGTCCAGAGTGTAGATCTAATTTGTTTTAATTAAAAATAGATCTAGGCCTAATTGTCTCATTGAAGGTTTTGTGGCTAATTAGCATATTTGTATTTAGGGCCTATTACTATTTTATACAATTTATGGTTAACGCACATTTATATTTAAAAAATCTAATTTTGTAAAATCAAGCAATTAAACTTAGTTTAACAAATTATGTCAAGTGTATGTTTAAACCAAACTAACACGCATTGTTAAACCAATCGCAATAATTAATTCTCATTGGTCTAACTACAAAAAAAGACTGTGACATCATTTCTAGAATCAAAACATTGAAGGCAAGTGGCCATCAGCTGTCGCTATATAGAAACTAACGATATATTTGATTGGTTGTCGAAATCTATTTCCGGACCAAAATATTCGTAAACTATTAGTTTACTTTACACATTTTTTAACGCAATAAAGTAAATTTTACAATAAATGCAAATAAAATAAAATAGGAAGTATTTTGCACACTTAATATTATATTTTCTGTCAAAGCAACCTTTAAAATTAACTAAAATGTGCAATTACGTCACGCATTATCACCCAATGGAAATTTATCTTGCTAAGACCCTTCGGTTGTGTATTTTATGTTATTATTTTCTTTTTGTTTAGCAGTGATAGTAGCAGCACCACTGGACTAATAAATATTCGGAGTAAATTAACGTTTTCATGGCGTAAAGACATGAGTAACCACAACCATAATAATCATTACAGCAATCATTCAAAAAATAAATCAGAGGTAAGAAATTTTTAAACCAAATGACGGTTCATCCACTTCTTATTATTTAAAACAGACAAACGAAGAGAAGAGAACAAAAAGAAAGTAAACTATTAGAAAGAGAGGAAATCTCTCTAATCTCTAATACATTTTAATTTACTATTCATAGCTTAGCTTTAACTTTTAAGTCGTTAAATTTTTTTTAACCTCTCTTTAAACTCATACATGTTAGATAATAAATAATAAAGCAATTTAGCTTAGGTTGGCCTATATTTAATCTAAATCTAGATCTAGAATCTAGTATATTAGTATATTTTTTAGTGCAAAAAAGGCCTCAGTCTAGGCTAGGCTTTGCACTCAAACTTTAGTAGTTAGTTTAGGATGGTTAGTCACTAACAAGTAACAAGTGTAGTAAAAGTTAAGTAAAGCCTAGCTCCAGCCTAAGCCCTATCTAAAGCCACTAATCACTATAGGCAGCTTGTTCAATTTTTTGCAGGTTGGGAAAAGGACTGAACCAATTCCTTTTATAGGGCCTACTTTTAAAAATATTAAATCGGATCAAAGTGATAACTTAGGGCCTGCTGGATAAAACTAGTAATAAATTAAGTCTTACTTTAAACAAAATAGATATATTATTAAATTATGAGGTATGAAGGTAATTTTAAGTGATTTTCATACAAAAAATTAATGACCGAACTAGCATTTTTTACTTTTGTCTCTATCAAGTAGACCTACACAAGGCATCAAGAAGTGATGAATAAGTGATGAATAATAATAATAATCAATGTCACTTTCTTTAGCCTTAGCATTAAAAATGTGTAGAATCTACAATCTACAGTATTGCCTACTGAAGACAATAGGTTAAAGTGAAGACAATTAACATTTTATCATTTAACTCTTAACATATGATTGCTTAAACAATACTAAACCTAACCTAATTTTCACATTAGCAGTCCCTAACTCAAACCATTATTGATTCGTTTTGTGAACAACAGAAAAAAAATTACTTTGTGCGACATCACCAAGACACATTCTGAAATGTACACCCACCTTTTTCACACATCATTACACAGTCCCTTCCTCATGTCATAATTTATTGACAACTTCTTGTATAATAATTTTATACTCTACCTACCCTACATAATTCATAATACTACATATAGAAATTAAAACTTCAGGTTAGCAGCTTAAGGTTCCTCAACCCATTGGGTTTAGTTAGTGTTTAATAATAATTAGATTTGAATACAATGCTATGGTTAATAATAATGTTGGAGGACTTTTCCATATTATTTATTAGCATAATAATGATTGGCACAAGGTTTGGAAACTATGCACATTCCTTGATGGAAGTTGAACTTTAAACTCCATATATATTGCATCACATAGTTGAGTAATAATTTATTGATTTTGTATTAGTCATTTGTGAACTACCTCATTTTAATTTTTTTGAGTTATGTTGTTGATTTGTATTCATTTGCTGTATCATACTGTATGAGAAGGACTTGTATTGCAGAAAGCAGTACCCCTAGGTTGTGTTATACACTATATAATACATAAATGTATATTTAAATATATAGTATAATTTAGTATAAAAAAAACAGTTCATAAAAAGTAAGACCCATCATAGACATGATAATCAAGTTTTCTTATAGAAAAGTAGTCGTCTTGGCAAGTTTTATATGTTAAAAGAGTGCCCTGCTGTTTGATCTGACAAGTTCTATGAGTGTAGCAAATGTGTATATAAGCCTAAATTCTGGAGTATGGTTTTAGGCTAGTTAGTCTTGTGGCTAAAGCAGGAAATAGGTGTGTGTGACAATTGTAATTTCCAGTTGCCTTACATTTATCTTATGCTGGGTACTAATGAAAGCTGAGTTGAGCACAGTATTATCATGATTCAAACTAGAGTTTCTTTGGTTTGTAAGCATGTGCTACGCTGATCAGCTACAATGCACCCCACTGATTAAAATTGAGTGACAGGTTGTACAAATCAAGTTTTGGTAAGGTTATGATTGGTTGCCTTGGTACAATGATGTGGGTAGAGCTAATTAAAATGGTTGAAAATTTATGCCACCCTCTGGTTAGACCTTTAGTTGCACATCACACATATTTTGTAAAAAAAAAAAAATGAAGTTCCCCCTTAAGACCTAGCAATTTATAGGGCAGATGAAGTCAAGTTTATGTTTCTTTACCTCTTCATATGAAGCATGATGTGGTCAGCACTATACCCAGCCACCTTTACTATCATTAAATTGAGTCAGGTACCCAACAAAGCTGGAAGGACTCTGACAACACATTCCCTAGTTATACACATTTTGTTACTGTAAAAAATATGCATTATAATTAACATTTGAGCAATCAAACTCATGCTCACATTATTATCAAGTGTTGCTGCTAATTTGTTAAATTAATTAAAATAAAAATTATACTTTTTTATTGCTACTTTTCATTCTTTAAACTAAACTTTCAATTTAAAGAATGATTTTTGTTTAATTTAATGAGCGATGTTTTTGTTAGGAAAAAAGAAGGAAGAGACGAAGCAATTCAAAAAATGGAGCACCACCTGGAAACTTTGACTGGACTAGTGTTAGTAAAAACTGTTTACAATCAAAACTAATTTTTTTCATTTTGTCTGATTAAGATTTGCACCATTTCATAATTTCATTTGTCATACAAAGGTCTTCTAATTCTTAAACATTTAATAAAAATCGTAAACATTATGCTGAAGATTTTAAAAAATTGTTATAATTGATTAGCCTATCGTAATCATCTATTCCCATTTGTGCCCAAACACATGGGGCAGATGAAGTAGAGTTTCAGTGACCTCAGCATACAATGGGATAGTGTGGTTAGCAACTATGCCCAGCCACCTTTGTTTATCTTATGCCAGTTAGGTACCCATCAGAGCTGGGTGTACCCAGGGGCGTTCTACCGACTCAAGCCCGGGATCCGAACTCGAGACCTTTGGGTTGGCAGACGTAAGGCTATGATGCTTACAAAATACTTTAATTCTTAGGGTTAGGGCTGGGTTAGTTTAAGGGCTAGGGTTAGTGTGAGGTTCAAAGTTTAAAATGTTGTTGAAACTATAAATTGCTATGCATTGGTTTTTATTTATTTCATTGTGGTAAAACTTTATTAAAACAAGGCATTGCTACAAATCAGGATGTTAAATAATTGAGTTTCCCCCCTCCCCCACACCATAGTTAAAATATGAGCATGAGAAATTTAAAAATAAAATGGATTCTATCCTCTCTAAAACTGTCTCTAGCTGAAATGTATTTGTGCTATTTCATTGACTTATTGTACCCCATGAGGAGCAAAGGGCTGCAGCCAAACTCTACATCGGACTTGGTTTTGAGCGGCTCTCTTTATTTTCACCCAGCAGCCCTTGCCTCATCTTCTACTGTCCTTCTCCAGGATTTCCTTATCCTACCTACTTTCCTCTTCTATGGAATTCCAGTCAAAGTCAAATGCTTTCCTTGCCATGTTACACCCTCCACTTTGCTGGATTTTATGTCCCTGTCCATAGGCTGTTGTTTTGTTTCGTTACAGGTTTTTATTGGATATTTTGTCTCATTACTTTTGTTTTCATAATTCACTAATAAATTGAAAGTATAATTGAAAGATGTGTTAATGTTTAAAAATGGTTTTGATCTCAGATATCGCAAACAGCTTATGAAGACGATGCATTGATTAATAAGAAACTACCTAAGGAGTTGTTATTACGGTAATTTGAATCACTAATTTGAGTCACTAATTTGTGTCTCTAATTTGAATCACTAATTTCTTAGTAACATATATCAACTTTAAATGCATTAAAATTGGTAATGAAGAAATTAGTTTTTATTACTTCTAACATAAGTTGCCTATATTTTAATGAAGAGATAGCGTTACGTATGAAACTAGATAATAATGCCGCCTCACTACACATACATTTGTGCGGAAGTGCCTTATAATAGTTTTCTGACTAGTGTATAACATTTATTTCAGAATCTTCTCCTACTTAGATGTTGTGTCATTATGTCGATGCGCCCAAGTTTCAAAGGTTGGTGCCAGTTGGTTTTCCCAGCATATTTAAGATAATTTCACTTTTCTTTAGGTGATCTTTAAAAATCAAATTTGATTATTCATATGAACTAATGAATTTTTGATTTAAATTTGCCCTTGTTGATTTAAAAAGGTTGGTGCCTGTTTTTGCACAATATGAAGATCTAAATTTTTTTATCGGAATTTTAAAATTCAAATTTATTCAAATTAAATAATTATTGATTAAGCATTTCCCCTCCTTGGTTATAAAAGTGTAATCATTAAATCCATAACAAATCAATGTTTGTAATATTTTTTTTAGTATTGGAATATGCTAGCATTAGATGGAAGTAATTGGCAGAAAATTGATCTTTTTGATTTCCAAACAGATATAGAGGTAAGTTTGTTCACTTAGTTTTATCCACATGTCCTTGCACACACATATCAGAAGCTGGAACTGTCATACTAGCCTTGAACGTATGAATTAAACTTTAATTTAAAGTGAGGGGTTTACCCAGGGGCTAATAATGTTGACTTAATATAATAGATATTTGGAACTATGCAGCCCAGAAGTAATTGTTTGCAAAAAATTGCATCAATAACAACTATTTTCTAGAAATGTTATTAAATGAACATTTTGTTATAAAATGAGTGTGATTCCAAGCAATTTGGTTCCTTGCAGAGTAATAGTTTTGTACTGGTGGTTTAAACAACTGTTGTATTACATAGACTAAAGTTTATTTTTACTGATGGTTTAAGCAACTGTTGTATTACATAGACAAAAGCTTTTTTATACTGGTGCTTTAAATAACTGTTGTATTACATAGACTAAAGTTAATTTTATACTGCTGTGTTACAGGGACGAGTGGTGGAGTACATGTCCCAGAGATGTGGTGGCTTCTTGAAATCATTGAGTTTAAAGGGCTGCCATAATGTCACAGATGGGGCTTTACAGTAAGTCTATTTTTAACACTTGAGTTTTCTCAGCTAATGGTAAACCTTTGCTCATAGTCTGGCTTGCACTTTAGGGGTTTTACTGTAGTTGTTCTGTGTAATGTTTACTAATTTTGGTGATCTAATGTTACCAGATGTAAGTCAGCTTATCTAATATACATCTCTGTTCTGAAACTGTGCCAAACTTGAATCTACTTCCCACTGTAGTGACATTTAATTTTTTTAAATACTTGTTAATATGGAGGGAGGGGGGAATATATAAGCATGTATTACTAAATATAAATAAAGTTAATATTATTCACAGTAAATTAAAAAGGACACCATACTAGGAATATGTATATACTTATATTTTAATTACCATAATTATTATTATATATTTATAAAACTATTTAATAATGAACTCACTTTATATTTTAGAAATTTTGCACAGCAGTGTCGACATATTGAAACCTTAATATTGAACAAATGTAAAAGTATCACAGATTTGTGAGTATCCACTCTGTCGTTCAACTTGTGTTAAACATGCAGTCATGATAAACTTTGTTGTTCAACGTATCATTCATATATAGTTTATAATAATAAAAGTTAATATTGTGTTATTAATTTGATTATGGTTTTAAAAACTTATTTTTAAAACCTTTGAAAAATTTTTATGTTGTCTTCACTATTCCAAAATAATATAATCACTTTTAATAAGAGGTAAATATTTTTTATTTCATAGATCTAAAAATACTCTAATAATTTTACTATAACAAAGGAGTTTAAATGTTTTAAAAATTTAATTTTACATTAACTGCATACTTAGAAAAAAACTGGGAAATTTCAGGAATGAAGCATGTTGTTACTTTGCATTGCTATACTGGTGAATTCTAGAAAGTAATGAAGATTTATTTTATTACAGAACTTGTGAAAGTTTAGGTAAATACAGTTCAAAGTTACGTAAGTTAGACCTCACCTCCTGCCCAGATATTACAGATGCTTCACTCAAGTATTTGAGGTATACAACTTATCTAGAAGGTTAATTTTTGTCAGACACAACACTTGTGATCTTTCATGTCTTCATAGGCTAAAATATTGTCATGGTCATTTGCTTAACGCAGTAAAATTTGTTTTATTTCTGTTATGTTAGAAGGGAAAAAAGTTTAATTATAATATTGTTAATTGGTTTTTAATTTAGGCATTTCAGGATTTTACACATTTGTGCTATAGTACAGGAATAATGTGTGAACTAATTGTTTGAAATACTTCAAAAAACTTCTGAAAAGTGACTTTGTGATTGTATTTGACCATGACAATATTGCAAACGATTAACATAGCTTTGCACCTCTTACCTTAGAAATAAGAACTAGAGGCCAGTAAATTTTTGTTTTCATATAGATATATATCGCTAATGAGACGTTGAAACTGACACTAGTTATTTTGCCTCATTTTGGCTTTGATATAAACTGAATATTTGTGTTAACTATTACGTAAATGACCTTAGCAATTAAAATCTTGTTTCAGTAATGCTAATTCCAGTAACAGTGGTCGTGGCTGCCCATTGCTGACCTATCTAGACATTTCTTGGTGCCAGAATATAACCAATGAAGGTGTGATAGCGCTGGCTGAAGGCTGTCCAAAAATTAACACCTTTTTATGTCGAGGCTGCACACAGGTTTGTTATTTGTTTCATGACATTTTCTAAATTCTTGTTTTTTATGTCCAAAAATTAACCCATTTTTTTCTGCACTGGCTGTACTTATGAATGTTATTATTTTTGTATCCTGACATTTTCTGAATAGTTTTTTGTGACTTCTTATTATCTTTGTGAACTTGTTTTATCTAATGAGGATATCATAGATTGTGTTTAGAATTCTGTTTTTGGTTTTTATGTATTTTGCTGGGGAAAGCTACACTAGTTTTAGGTAGTGTTACGTAATCCATATTTACATCTAGCTAGATTAACTAATGATGCTTTCATTACCAGATTGGCAATGAGGGTATTGAAAGACTGGCCACATGTTCTGAAAATTTGATGAAGTTGAATATTCAACAAGTTAATGTAAGTTCCCAATTTTAGGGTTAAATTTTTTGTATGCTATTTAAAAAAAAATCGCATAATATATTCTTTTCTTCTTAAGTTAAGCTATTGAAAATAAGAAACTCCAGCATATTTTGTAATGGCATTTTTATTCTGATACTATTATTTAATTTTAAGATGAAGCGATCAGAATTTAAAAAAAAAATCTCTTTTATTCTGTTTAGAATATCACAGACGAGGCCATCACAAAAATTGGTAATGAGTGTCCTGGGCTCACTCTCCTGTGTGCATCAATGTGCACCCGCCTTACTGATGCTAGTCTTGTGGCGCTGGGGAAAGGATGTTTGGAGCTCAGGTACTTTCACAACTATTTACCGATTAAAATGGTTGAAAATATTTTATATTTGTTGAACAGTTGCAATCAAGGCTTAGATTGTTACTTAACTCTAACCCTGACTTTAATGCTAATTATGCACTTACCTCTTACTGATACTTACAAAATTTGTTTGATATAAACTGTACAATTTTGCGATGTTTGAATAAAAACAAACAATTAAAGTTAAACATTGTTAATAAAAATTGATGAACAAAAAAGTTTGAACAATGTTTAAGTGGTAAAAGCTAGTGCGTAACGTGTATTTTGTGTATGCAGTATTAAAAAAAGTTGAAAAACGAAATATGTATTTCATAAATGACTGCAGCAGGTTCAAAACTACTGCTCAGCCATGCAACCTCGAGGCTTATGAAAGCTTTAACATTGTAACAATTTTTTTTAAGAATAAAAATGTGAAAAATAAATAGAATTTAACCAAAGTTTGTTAATCCTTTTAATATTTGATTAGTTTAAATTTTTTTTTTAGAACTTTAGAGGTCTCTGGCTGTAACAATCTGACAGACAGTGGATTTCAGGAGCTAACGAGGGTAAGACAATTTTTTAATTAGTTTAGAGAGACAGTAAATATTTAGGGGTTGACAAGTGTAAGATACATGTGGAAAAATATCATTTTTGTCATTTAGATCATTTTATTTTTACTGAGAAAATACATAACTACATTTATCCAATAGCTTTTGATAGTTTGAAAAAAAGAGATAATGTTTTAATTTTGTTATTAATTCATGTGAGGCAGTATGCTTCAATATGGGAAATGGTATGACATGGCATTTGTCTTGTTGTATATGACAGCACTTTTGTTATATGTAGGCTATATGGTATGGTACTTTTGTTGATTGTACATAATAAAGTAATTTTATTACTTGCACACTACAGTACTTTTGTTGTTAGTGCGAAACTTAGGGTTTTTTATTATTTATTCATAACGTAGTAATTTTATAGCTTGTATATAACGGTACTTTCATTGTTTGTATATGACATGATACTTTGTTGTTTGTACACATGTGGTACTTTTATTGTTTAAATATGACATTGTATTTTTCTTACTTGTACATGATACAGTATTTTTGTTGTTTCAGAATTGCCATAAGCTGGAAAAAATGGATCTTGAAGATTGTATTCAGGTAAACAAAAAGGATCATTCATTAAGTGCACTATTCAAATCCTACATGCTCATGCTCTCTATTCTGAATTTTAAAATACCTACACCCATATGTCTTCTATTCTGAATTTTAAAATACCTACACCCATATGCCTTCTATTCTGAATTTTAAAATACCTACACCCATATGCCTTCTATTCTGAATTTTAAAATACCTACACCCATATGCCTTCTATTCTGAATTTTAAAATACCTACACCCATATGCCTTCTATTCTGAATTTTAAAATACCTACACCCATATGCCTTCTATTCTGAATTTTAAAATACCTACACCCATATGCCTTCTATTCTGAATTTTGAAAAACCTACACCCATATGCCTTCTATTCTGAATTTTTATATACCTACACCCATATGTCTTCTAATCTTAATTTTAAAAAAAAACCTACACCCATATGCCTTCTATTCTGAATTTTTATATACCTACACCCATATGCCTTCTAATCTTAATTTAAAAAAAAAACCTACACCCATATGCCTTCTATTCTGAATTTTTATATACCTACACCCATATGCCTTCTAATCTTAATTTAAAAAAAAAACCTACACCCATATGCCTTCTATTCTGAATTTTTATATACCTACACCCATATGCCTTCTAATCTTAATTTAAAAAAAAAACCTACACCCATATGCCTTCTATTCTGAATTTTTATATACCTACACCCATATGCCTTCTAATCTTAATTTTAAAAAAAAACCTACACCCATATGCCTTCTATTCTGAATTTTATGTTTTTTTTAGATAACAGATGCCACACTGGGTCATATAGCTAGCCACTGCCACCAACTTAATGCCTTGGTGAGTTCACATTTTCATGCTTTATGTACACAATTTATCGGACGGCGTGGCCTAAGTGAAGGTCTCGAGTTTGAAATAGGGTCCATGTCAGTAGAACGTCCCTGAGTCTACCAAGCTATGATGGTTACCTAACTCATGTTAGGGAAAGTAAAGACAGCTGGGCAAAGTGCTGACCACAGATTCCCTTCATATGCTGAGGGCTTCTTCATCTGCCTAATGGATCTCTATGTCCAAAGATGATTCTTTACTTTTTCTTTACTTATGTACATATTTTACTTACTTTTGGTAGTTACACGTTTCGTTCTTACTATCCTCTTAAACTTTGTTAGATATGACTTGTTCTTTCTGAATTATCTTATTCATTAAATGCGCCTTTTATATGGCTATAACAGTCCAAACTACTAAACCTAGTTCATCACCCTGTTAAAATTATAACTAATTCCTATTTGAGTCATGTATGTAAACACAATGAGATAAAAAAATAGATAGTTAAAATGTTTTATCTGGATAATTTCCTATGGTTTTGTGAACTATTTTCCTAGAGCTTTTAGGCCTTGGGCTTCATTGCACTTCTCTTACCAAGCCTACCTTTGTTGGTACCAGTACTTGTCTTAAAGTCAGTCTTGGACTTATTGCACTTCTTTTATCAAACATGTCTTTTTTGGTAACAGTACTTGTCTTTTAGTCAGTCTTAGACTTCTTTGCAGTTCTCTTACCAAGCCTACCTTTGTTGGTACCAGTACTTGTCTTAAAGTCAGTCTTGGACTTATTTGCATTTCTTTTATCAAACTTGTCTTTTTTTGGTAACAGTACTTGTCTTAAAGTCACTCTTGAACTTCTTTGCAGTTCTCTTACCAAACCTACCTTTGTTGGTTCCAGTACTTGTCTTATACTTCTTTGCGCTAATTTTACTAAAGATTTCTTTGTTTGTCCCAGTCTTTATCCCACTGTGAACTGATTACGGACGAGGGGATTCGTCAGATTGGCTCTAGCCCCTGCGCCACGGAGAATCTCCGCATCCTTGAGCTGGATAACTGTCCTCTCATCACGGATGCGGCTCTGGAACATTTGCAGGGGTGTCAGTCCCTGCAGCGTATTGAGATTTATGACTGTCAGTTGATTACGAGGGCTGGTATACGTCGGCTACGGGTGAGTTGAAGCTGACTGTTGAGCTAGTTACAAGTGGTGGTAAAGTTTAGGAAGTTTAGATTGATGGCTTTTGTCTTGGTTGGGAGTGCTGGTAAAAGTGGGCTATAGATAAATGAAGATTATTGTTGGTAGATTTTAGCCATGATTAAGTTGAGAAGTGTCAGGCGATTACCTAATCTTACATTTTATTACAAATCATCGTATCAATATTGTGTATTTGTGTATGAGTAGAATAAAAATAAGTTGAAAATTTACTGTTGATAAAAGGATTGTTTGTTTAAGATACAGATATAATAAGATTTTCACCCAAGGTACAATTCAAAGAAAGCAAATGTACTGATTATATTACAAATTATCCTATGAATATTGTGTATTTGTGTATGAGTAGACTAAAAATAAGTTGAAAATTAACTGTTGATAAAAAGATTGCCTTTTTAAGAATCAGATATAATAAGATTTTCACCCAAGGTACAATTTAGCAATTTCTTCTTGTTTCAAAGAAAGCAAATGTAATGTAATATTTGTTCCCTTTCCCTAGAACCACTTGCCTGATATTTTGGTACACGCCTACTTTGCACCTGTAACTCCCCCTCCCTCAGTTGGAGGGGGCAGGCAGCGCTACTGCAAATGTTGTATTATTCTTTGACCAATAACATTTCATGTCACCTGTGTTCAGGTAGGTTAATTATTTTTTTTCTTAATTAGCTCACACACACAAAAAATTATATTATTAAGGTCAAATGTTGTTGTGATTAAAAAAACAGTTATTCTATTTGATAAAATTTAATTGAATTTAAAAACAAGAAAATAAAGAACAGAAATCAAACACCTGCTAAGTCTTCCAAATTTAATTGGTCATTTAGTTAAAAATTGCCTCTAAAATTTAATATGTGGGTTGGTAAAAACATTACAAAGGAAAAAAAAGAAATTCCAAATTTAATTGGTTGGTTAATAAAAATTAGGCCTCTAGAATTTAGTGCATTAACGAAAATAAAAACCCTCCAAAATTTAATTGGTTGGTTTAAAATAAAAGGCTTGGAATGTTCATAGTTGTACAAACAAACAACCAACTGTTAGAAATATTGGTTTAAATATTGCTTGGTGCCTTTATAAGTGTTCATCGTTTGAATGATAACAGCTGATGCTAGGGTCAGCTTATGATTCTGACCTGTCATGCTATTAGTATTTTGTATGTCATGTCGCATCTGTCATGTCACAGCCCTCATGTCACATTTGTCATGCCATTGCTGACAAGTACTGATTTAATGTTACCAATAAGTATGTTATTGTGGCTCTCATGGTACAATACTAAAGGATCATTTGGCCACGGCTGTAAAAAGCTGTTTTCAACCTTTTAAACCATCAGGATGGAATTTTTTTTTTGTAGAAATTCTATCTTTTTAGTTTAATAAAAAAAAAAAAAACAACTTTTAATTTTTAATAAGCTGTACCTTATGGTTTTTACAGGAAGGCTAAAACATTTTGTTGCCATGGGAACAGTTTAGGGTAGGTTCATCCACTTACCAAAACACTACAGAGGTTATAACTACTTTTTCATCTGGACATTAACATCACACGAATCAAAGGCTTGTTAGTCTGGCTTTATACATTCAGGAATTTTTATTTAACTGCTCTTATTGTCAGCTTTGAGAGGCTTTAACTGTGTTGGGCATTATTTCATAATAACAAAAATCTCAACTAATAGTTATAAATTTTTTTTTTCTAGCTGATAGTGATCTTCAGAATTAAGTAAACATCAAAATTAACTGAAAAATGTTTCTATTTGTTTGAGTAAAATAGCTGGTAGTTGTTTTTCTTTGTAATCTAAAAGATTTTTTTTATAGATTAGTACATAAAAATTGTTGATCTCCAGAAATCTTTAATACTTTCCTGACTATTTCCTAATGTATTTATTTTATTTTAAAACTGTATTGTACATTCAACATTTTAAAAAGTTTCATAACTAAAATCTTGGTGTATACTTAATTTATAAAAAATATTTAAGAAAATTTATTTTTGTTAAAAAAATAACTGGGTGAGATTACTAGTGGAATAATAAAAAAAAATGCAACTGGTTAATGAGCATCAATAAATTTCACCAACAAATGTATTGATTGTTAATGTCAACATATCAGGTTACACAACAAATCACTAGTATTCCCTGTTCAACTTTTCACTAGCGAGGTGTTACAAGTTTTTCTCATTGCCGACATTTTGACATTTCTTTTTGAGCATATTCAACAGATCTTTTTCTCACAATTTAACAAAATGTATTATTTTAATCTGTTTATGCCTGGAAGCCATTTTTGTCACAAATTGGTTAGAAGATACTTTAAGATAACAATCATTTCACAATCTAAAAAGTATTTGGTTTATTAACTAATATTATGTTTATGAATGTTGATGGAAAGGAAGTTAAACTGGTGTATGAAGTGATCTAAAGAATGTTGAAAAATATCATGGCTAATTTGTTTTTATTTAAGTGCTTTTGTTATAATACTCTATGGACTACACAAATCTTGTAGAGTTTGGCCAGTTTTAAACTTTCTAAAACTTGAAAGTATACAAAATTGTTGTAATTTGCTGTGTTCATGCATAGGTGATATTTATCTCTCCTTTATTGAATTCTGCTAGAGGGTTGTTTCTTTTTGTTCACAAATTTTCCCTTGATATATATTAAAGCATTTAATATTTGTTAAAATAATTTGAATAAAAATGTTAACAAAAAAAGTTCACTGGTTACATTTATGAAAATATAAACCTAAAAAAGTTTACTTTGGAACAGGTAAATAAAAACAACTTGTTTATGCTAGTACAAAGTAAATGATACATTCTTCTATGCTGAACACATTGTCAGTAGACTCTTGAGATTATCAGCACTTATTAACTAGAGTGATGTCTCTTGTTTTTAATTTTTGACCAAGTGTGATCTTATTTAAAATTTGTGTGAAACTTGTAAAAAAAAACAACATTTGTTAAAAATATTGTTGTTTGCTATTTGTAATTTTGTTTATAAGCTTTTTGTACAGTTTGTATAATGTAAATGAAATGATAGCACTGTACAGATGTTTATTTTTTTATATATTTTTTATTAGTCTAAGAAATTTCTTCCTGAATGCTGTGTGTTAGCAACGAGAAGTTTTTTGAACCCTAGAAGACTAGATGTTAACTTGATCATTTAGGATTTGAGCGAAGCATGCTGAGAAGTTTAGAAGTTTTGGTCGTGTGTTTTAGTATCAGTAGCCTGAGAGCGCCTGGCCACACGGTGGCCTAATTAAAATGTATACATGATACTCTACAATGCTTTTCTTTTTGCTGTTTGAAAATAATCTGTACATTCATTCTTTATTATTGTTATTCTCAACTCTACATGCTTTGAAAAAAAAAATGCTATTGATTTGATTCAAGGTAGTATGATTGTTTGGATTTTACTAGGGAAGATTGCTCTTATTAATTCAAATATGTTAAATCTCAGCAATTTGAATGTTGTGTTTTTTTATTCCTAATAAATATTAACCACTTTATTTATTAATAGCTTGAACTAGCAGTGATTAAATAAAATATTGTTACATTTAACTATTAGATAAAGTTTGATTTAAATAATTTCCCTGTTAATATCTCTTACACTTCAGTTTAGCATAATTTCAAAATAGTAGTTGATTTAGAAATACATTGTATTTTACACATATAAAAATATTGACCACTTCTTTTTTAGTAAACATCTTTTTTGGTAGTAACAGGCACTATATTTGGAAGTTGATGAGGTTAGGTTTTAAAGCATCTCCAGATAAATATTTTTTGTATATTAGTTTTTCTTTAAAGATTGTTTTCACTTACTAGTTGATGTAGTGGCAGCTACAAGCTTGAGACATCCAAGACATGAGAAACTTTTTAATCTACCAACGCTATTTGATGTGCTGATATAGAAATTAATTCTTGAATCTTGAAAGATTAGTTTAAAAAAATCAACTCAAATTTGTCTGATAAAACTCAAGTTAAGTGTTGGCAAGTATCAGTGTTACAGCGTTACCAGTGTAACAACAAACACATTTACCAATGACAGTTACCATTGTTGGTAACAGATTTACCTTGATGGTAGCACTGAGACACCAGTGGTGGTAGCAGTTACCCAGGTGATGCAAAGATTTACCACCAGTATGTAAAAAAAGGTAGTCAGGAATGACAAGTTACAATTTGCTATTGTAATGATTTTAATTAATTTTGTTTTAAGAAAAAGAAACAAAACTAAAAAAAAATGTTTTGCATATGTAATTTTTTTAGAGCATTACATTGCATTTTTATTGTCTTTCAAAATGAATACAACTATTTTATTTATTAATTTTGTATAAAAAAAATTACATGAAAACAAAAGATCTGTTTGAAAACTTTTTCAACACTCTTATCTCTAGAGGATTTCACTGCCTTTAACTATAACTGCTAGAACTCTTACCTAGTACAGCAAACATGTTATGTTAAGTGAGTAAGATGTTTAACCATTACTCTTTGAATGATGTATTGTGTGATGTTTTCTTGATGTTTCATTTTTTTCAAAGGAGTGTGAAGAGAATGCAAGTGTTTAAAAATCATCTTACTAAAGAAATTTTTTTGATAAAGTTAAAAAAATACAGAATTAAAGTTATATAAATAACTGTTGGAACTTAATAGTAACCGAAGGCTTTTAATAATCTTTCACTTTATGGAAGCAACTTAGAGAAGAATTTTTTTAAGAATCAAGCATAATCAATTAAAAAAAATATTGTAAAGAATAAGTGCCCTTTTTTATTTTGAGAAAAGAGTTACCTGCTCTTTGTTTATTTGTTGAGAACCAAACACTTATTGGGTACTGACCATATTGACCAGTGTTAATTTTTAAAAATTACATGTTGTTTGGAAATGCACCTTAATGTACAGGAGAATTAAGAAGTATAGCATGGCTGATCACTACTTTAAGCAAACAATTGTCCCATTTCGCAATCAGTTGTGAGTTCAGATAGTGCAGCCAAAAATCAGGGAATAAATAATTCTTCTTCGTGAATTGTATCTGCGTACGTCAGATGATGTTGAACAGTTGAACAGAACACTATATTATCAGATCTCATCTTTTCGACTGGTTTTAATTTTATTTCAAAAGCAACATTTTTTTTTTACTTGCAAGAATACCAATATTTTTTAAAGTTAATTTTTGAACAAATTTAAGGATGATATTTTAATGAAACGAAATATGTACTTAAAGATTCTTTTTGTTTTAAATATTAAAAAAATATATTTAAAAAAAATTCTTTAAAAAAAGATAAGGTTCAATCACTTAATCAAAAAAGTACTAATTACAGAAGAATGCTCATTTATGTCCACACTGAGTTAAAAAACGCAATACAATCCCATACTATGTGAGAGTTTTTTTTTTTAGTGAAGTTTAATTTGTGTGGTATTAAACTTTAAGCCAATGTCTAAATATAATGTGGTGGGTGAGCATGACTGTCAGTAATTTGTCAGTGTAAATGGGGTTCATGTGGCATCCAGATATCTTTACTAAAGTTAAATGTGATGTCATAACCAGTTATGATGTGTTGAATCTAGTTGTAAATTGAGGTATGTGAACCATGTCATAGGCAGATTTTTGTTATGTGTGTGAGGAGGGGGAAGGATTTTAATTTATATATATATATATATATATATATATATATATATATATATATATATATATATATATATATATATATATATATATATATATATATATATATGTCTGTATACATATATATCTATATATAATTTTGAATAGTAAACATAATAACGTAATTTTTGTGCGCGCACCATCACAGCTTTCATGTTGATGGTGCGTGGGTTCAACTCCCACCTCCCCTCTCCCCCCTGCCTATGCCATTGTGTGTGAGTGTGGCATTTAGTGTCTGTACCAATGTTTCTTACTTTTTATCTAATCTCTGTGTTTGGCCTTATACCAATGTCGCGGCACCTGATTGGTGTAGAGAACGTCGTGAAACTGATTGTGATCCAACTCCAATATTTTGCAGCAATTTTTTTCAGTACTCTTCTCATTGATATTTTTTGTTGCTTGGCTGATGTAAAGATTTATTCACACTGATTAAACTTGTACCAATAGACTTGAGGTTTCTTTCTGCTTTTATTTTTTTAAAGTTATTGATGTACGGGTGCCGAATGAATCTGTTTTTCCTTTTTCAAAATATTATTGTGTGTTCACGGTAGGCATTACTTATCTTGGTCAAACAATACCCTAGATAATTTTTTCATGTTGTTAAAAAAAGGGCTTAAGTATTACAGCAGATCTGCAGGCTGAAATGAAAAGTTGTTTTCACAAATAGTTTACTGATTTTGGTTTATGGTTAAGACTTTTGTAGCACAATATAAAAGAACAGGTGAATTATTCGGTTCCAATTCAAGCCCACAATCTATTAAAATGACCAACAAAATATGCTTTGGATGTGATAATGAGCTGTGTTTAAAATGTGTTTAATGTCTTGTAGCATATAGAATATATCCAATTTGAGACTCACTGCCTACCTACCGAAAAGGAACACATTTTGTTGCGCATGCGCTGTACATCTAATTTGAGATCCACTGTGCACACAACGAAACAAAACACATTTTTTAAAAGCACGTAGATTCTACCATAGGTCTAATTTGAGACCCACTTTACATCCATAGAAGTGGAACCCATTTTGTTGCGCATGCGCCACACATTTGAGAACCACTGTACACCTACTGTACATGCGGCTTGACAAAACACCACAACAACCCCCCCCCCCCCCCCCCCCCCCCATACGTTTTCTCCTGACGCACAGATCGATGTTGATATCAATAATTCATACATTTGTAGGCCGAGCTTGAAATATTTTGTCTACAGCTCAGCTTGATCAAAGAAAAACAAAAACAGAAGTCGAGAGTGAAGAGTTAAAAATGTATGTGAAAGAGAAATAAGGGGGGATAACTAGAGATCATCAGGTAAGGGAAGTAATGTAGGTAAACAAAAAGGAAATAAATAATTTTATTTTTTATTTTACCCCGAAGTTTTTAACTCTCCGTACCTATTTACAGAGAAATATACAGAAAGATTAGCTTTATCAGTCTGTTGAAAAGAAAACGCTAAATGCTTTGAACATTATGCAATTTAATTGTAATGATTTGATTATTTTGTTCAGGCTCACGAAGAACCATTTGGTGTAGTAGGTTGTCCAAAATCAAGTTCAGTAATTCTTGCACATATTTCATTTGTTAAACATTAAAAAAATATTAGAATTTAAAAGAAAAATAAATAAATAGAAAAAAAAACTGTTGGAATTAAACAACAAAATTATAAGGAAAAAAATATTTATTTCGACAAAAAAAGCAGTGCATGTACGTGTTATACATAGTGAAATAAAATGGAAAATACAACAAAGTTTTTACATAGAATATCGTCAATACTGTAACGGTAGCTGGTACACTTAAAGTGAACGTGTTACTGGCGACCAAGGGCCATGGAGGAGGGCGAGAAATAATTTTAAAAAAAATGTGTCCCTCCCCACCAAATATGTTTTTAAGTATACAGCGGTATAGCAACTGGGGTACCAGCAATACGGGCTCATAGGAAATACTTATATATCACATGGTATGGGTAGGTGAATACTGAGCAGGAAATAACATGTATTTTACGTAATAAAGTTAAAAAAAAAACAACTAACAAGACAATTTGTGGCGGTTTTCTAAATAATGTTAAGTGTGGGGTAAAGGGAGTTGGGTGGGGAATGGGTGTGGGGGGGGGGGGGGAACATGTGGAAGGAGTAAAGAAACGTGACAACAGGACTATAGCAGATTTTGACACCCGGCTAGAGAGATACAATTTCCCCTTTCAGATCTATCGATACATAAGGCTAAGGAGCTAGAGCTTTCCCTAGCCGCCTTCACTTCCGCTAACGTGAGTGAGATACCCTTGGTGATCCTACAGACTCACTTGCGGACCTAGATCCGAACTCGAAACTTTTTGGCTAGCAGTCGAGCGCGCTACTACCCAGCCACGCCGCCACATGACTGGTTATATTTGTCACCTTTAACAATTCTTAAACAAAATAAACACCCCCCTCCCCAAACAAAACAACAAACAAAACAAAACAAACAAAAACAAACAACAACAACAGCAACAAAAAAACCAACCACACACACTCTAACAACTTAAACAAGCAAAATAACATAGGCCTGCGTACATCGTCTACAATTAATGCTGTATCAACACGTCATAAAACCTTGTAAGTATTGACAGTTATAGTGCTTTGACATATAAATCACAAGTATTGACATATAGCGTCACTGTGTCATGTGACGTAGTGACACTGTGACATGACAGATGGAGGGCTGAGTGTGTCATGCTGACATGACACTGCCAGCATAAATGACACCACCACCTGACATGATTTATTGAAGCCGCCTAATACAGTATAACATTCATTGATTGGGAACAAAAAACTTTTGTCACAAGCTAAATGGCGTCTGTACGGGTAGGGGGTGCAAGCCCCATGCGGGCGTCACGTGATTTAATGACGAAACTACAGGTATCTCATGCATTCGAAATTACTTAATTATAGACCCCAGCATTGAAAAACAAAATATACAAAAATTAATATAGGTTGATTAATTTCCCAAAACATGTTCAATAAATAAATACATAACAAAAAATAGAAACAAAAAGGGATTTATGTAGGCCGTTTCTATTTAATCTATAACCAGGTGGTATCTGAGTCAAATTTAGATGGGGAATGAGACTATTCTAAACATTGAAAATTCCAGATGTCTTTTAGTAGGTATTTTTTTTTAACATGTAGTGGTTCAGATTCGGCTTACTATGTCACACACTTAACACTTAGATTGGGATTTGTAGGTCACATTTCAAACAATGACTTGGCGAGATGGGTGTAAAGTATGTCAAACATTAAGTTGGTTACATAAATTATAGATTTTGTTGGTAAAATTTTAACATTTAATTAGTGAGTCAGTCGGGGTTTAAGAATTGAAACATTTAGTGTGTTGGATACATGTTTGGAAACATTTAGTGTGTTGGCTATATGTATGGAAACATTTAGTGTGTTGGCTATATGTAGGGAAACATTTAGTGTGTTGGCTATATGTTTGGAAACATTTAGTGTGTTGGCTATATGTTTGGAAACATTTAGTGTGTTGGCTATATGTAGGGAAACATTTAGTGTGTTGGCTATATGTAGGGAAACATTTAGTGTGTTGGCTATATGTATGGAAACATTTAGAAGGTTGGATAGATGATGGCTGGCTCGAATGGCGTCGGTTTTTGCCTCAACCAGGGGGTGTTCCGCCGGAATCCGTACTTTCCGTTGTAGCCGGAAACACACCGGATGTCCTGCATAAACTGGGCGTGGCCGTCCACTGTTTCTTGCGAGTGACCTGTTGAGAGAACAAGAAAGTTGGAGGCTGTGTGTCACGTGCAACCTTGCAAAGTCAGTTTCCAAACACAATAAATAAATCATCTTTTCAAGGTCATCCACCAACACAGCAAATAAATCAATTCAGTCAATCGCCAACACAACAGATAAATCATTCTTTCAAGGTCACCCGCCGATAAAATAAATCATCCATTTAAAGTCATCCACCAGCACAATAAATAAATCATCCTTTCAAGGTCATCCACCAACACAGCAAATAAATCATCGTTTCAAAGTCAATCGCCAACGCAACAAATAAAGCATCATTTCAAAGTCATCTACTTTCACAATTACCACCGTTATATATTTCTCAAGCCAACGGATTCATATTTTAAAACAAAGTAGCTGGATCCGTCTATAAATAACGCATGACACCTGGGGTTAGTGAGGGGAAGTAGGAAAGGAGTCAGATATTTCTGTCGATATTCTTCGCGGGGAGGGGAGAGGGGGTGGGGGCTGGGGGTAGATGGTGTGGGGTGTAAGGGTGGGGTGAGAAACGAAGTGTACTTGGTACATATTTCTAAAAAGTAAATATTTTACTTGACAAAAAGTAGATATTCTGAAAAATTTATTTTTGTTTTAAACAGTTGGGTGCACAGCTTTATGACTTCATTTTAGTGGGACGTGATGACATGATGACGCAGCACGTGTGAGTAGAAATAGTTGGTGTGTGTGTGTGGGGGGGGGGGTAAAATTGTGAAGCGTCATCCATGTTGTTAAAATATTATTTGCGATCGTCCTTTATCCAACTAGACCTAGTCGTATGGCCGTGCCGTGTATCAGTGGCGTTATGTTACGGTCAAAGCCCGAAGTGCGGCCAAAGCGCGGATTGGCCGGCCAATCCGCGGATTGACCGGCTCTCTTGGCCAAAGTCCGAAGAACTTAGCACTAAGATCGTATTTCGTACATTGGCCGGCCAATGCGCGCACTGGCCGGGACGTACTGGCCAAAGTCCGAAGCGCTTAAACTTGACAGCGTATTTTGTACATTGGCCGGCCAATGCGCACACTGGCCGGGGTGTCCTGGCCAATGTTCTATCTAGACTAAGTTGTGATCACATTTTCATTATTCTGGGTGTGTTTTCATTGAGAGTAACGTATTGTTTAGCTCTTGTTTGTATAGCATTCTATATGCAAGGCGACATGGATCAACAGGGCCGTCAGACCATGAGACAGACATAGCAGATGGCTGTCAAAAGAAAAAAATGTAAATCCATGTTAGTTTCCATATATGGGCTCTCGATAAAATAGTTACTGAGGAAGATCTTGAAAACATTGAACAAGAAATGGAGGTTGCCATAAATGCAACGACATCCTCAGCTAACACATCTACTGCCGTGGCGGAACGCCCAGACCAGTTGCGTGACAATAATGTGGCCAACAGATTCTATATAGTTTGTGAAAAATATTGTAGTGCAGCTCATTCTTGTGGATCCTGTGGCAACGATGTCCATGCTATTTGTGGAATACCCAATGAAGCAGACGAAGGGTACGGAGGGAACATTACCTGCAGATTGTGTCACAACAAACAAGACATCATGGAACACAGATCAGCAGCTCATACTGGCTTGCTAACTCAAGGTGCTAAGATGCTTAAAACATCAAATACAAAATTTAAAGATGGTGAAGTGGGTGACAATGTACGCATCCGTTTTCCCGATGTTAACAGAGGTCACGGTGATCCCCGAAGCGTGATTGCAGTTGTCATGAGCGTCGACATCGCTTTCTACAAGCTAGAAACGGAACATGGTGTTCTAAAACAAATATATTCTAGAAGTGAGATTTCAATTCTTCACGAAAAACTGCTCTTAAAGTCGTCAGTTGGCACTGAGGAAAAATCTCTACGAATCATCGCATCTTCACAATCATTGACTGGGGGCCAAGGCTACACTCGCTGCAATTGCACAACTAAGTGCACAACAAATCGCTTCAAGTGTAAAAATAACAAACTACTATGTAATTCTAAATGCCATAAAAGTTCAACTTGTTGTAACAAATGATAATATTGATAGATTGAGACTATAGTACAATAAAAAAAAAGAATATTTCTGTCATTTACTTTAATTAATAATCAATAAAGACTTAATTTCATGATCCTTACGGCATTAAAAAAAAACAAAATCTGCTCATGATCTTCTAATCCGGACTTTGGCCGGTCGTCCCTAACCAGATGATCTTCTAATTAAGACATTGGCTGGTCCACCATGGCCAGTCTGCGGATTGGCCGGCCAAAGGCCGAAATCAAGCAAAGTTTCGGACTTTGACCGACCTATGGGAGGCGATATTGGCCAATGCGCGGATTGGCCGGCCAATCCTAGCATTGGCCGACTTCGGGCTTTGACCGTAACATATCAGTGGCGTAGCGAGGTCGGGTGTCACCCGGTGCGGCACTTAATTGTGTCACCCCCCCCCCCCCCCCCAGAGGCATAGAGACCCTTCCCAGGGACAAACTTTCAAACTTTTGATTTGCAGCCTCCCTCAAACTTTCGATTTGCACCCCTCCCCCCCTCAAACTTTCGATTTGCACCCCCCCCCCCCCTCGAGTTTTTCTCTATATATTTTGCTATTTTTTGCCTTGGTGTCACCCCCCTAAATGGTGTCACCCGGTGCGGTCCGCACCCCCCGCCCCCCCCCCCCCCTCGCTACGCCCCTGCCGTGTATGTCTGGCAACATTGTTGACTAAAACGGTCAACAGATCCCACTGTTAAAATCTTCGTGTCGTGGTAACGTTTTCTGTGTTTATTCATGTATTCACCTTTGACCTTCTTAATCGTTTTAATTAATTTAGACTTGACCCTAGTAGCTGACGACTGCGACTTTACAAGGACGGTAGGGGAAGAAAGTTAATTAATGTTAATTAATTAATTGTCCTTCTTTCACTACACAAGTACACACGCACTTTTGTGCAGTGTATAAACAAGCACCTTTATTTTGTACGAAAAGTGCGTTTCCACCCCGGCAGAGTTTATTTCAGACATTTCTTTATGGGGAGGGAGGGGGTCACCCCGAACTAAATTAGAATTTATATAGAAAATCTATATAATATGGGTTACTTGTGTCCCCCCCCCCCCCCAAACACACAATTTTTTTTGTCCGCTTCCTCCTTCGAAGGTTTCAACTGCATCCCGAAGAAAAAAACTCTGAAAGAAACACTTCATCCCAGTCTTCTATGAAAGTAAGACTTTGTGGATAGGCCCAAACTGCCGAAATAGAATCGCTGAAGTTTTAAACTGACCCATACTGCCTAAATAATTTAAACACTTATTTTTAAAATTAAGTAATATAATAATAATATTTATGTATACGTTTCTAACATTAAATAAAATATTTAAAATATAGGCCTATCTAATATTGATTAAAAAAAAATTCGGCAATACTGGCTGTCTATTAATTTCGACATTTCTATTTTCGGCAATACTGGCTGTCTATTAATTTCGACATTTCCATTTTCGGCAATACGGGCTGTCTATTAATTTCGACATTTCCATTTTCGGCAATACGGGCTGTCTATTAATTTCGACATTTCAATTTTCGGCAATACGGGCTGTCTATTAATTTCGACATTTCCATTTTCGGCAATACGGGCTGTCTATTAATTTCGACATTTCAATTTTCGGCAATACGGGCTGTAACCTGTTTATCACTCGTGAGTTCCCTCCCTTCAAATTGACCCCCGGGTCACAAGAACAAGTTCCCTTACCTGCACCAAACTCGTTCCTGAGGGACAGGTAGGAGTAGCCCGCCCCTCTCTCGTGGAACCGGTCAACGACTGGGCCTTCGATAGACGAGGCGTTTTTGCCGATCTGCAAGCGGGGAATCACAGAAAACAATGATTAAAATATCTATCAAAACGTATAATGGTTAAAATATTGATCATAACAACAAATGAAAGCAGAGGTTACAATATCGATTATAACTCATAAAAATAGTGGTTAAAATATCGATCATAACGCATAAATACAATGGTTAAAATATCGATCGTAGCAACAAATGAAAACAGAGGTTACAATATCGATTATAACACATAAAAATAGTGGTTAAAATATCGATCATAACGCATGAAAACAATGATTAAAATATTGATCATAACGCATGAAAACAATGATTAAAATATTGATCATAACGCATGAAAACAATGATTAAAATATTGATCATAACGCATGAAAACAATGATTAAAATATTGATCATAACAACAGATGACATAACAACAGACGACAACAGTGGTTAAAATATCGATCATAACGCAGAAATACAATGGTTAAAATATCGATTATAACACATTAAAAAAATTGTGATTAAAACTAAATAGCGGCGTGCGGGTCGGCCCGTTATTATTAATACCATTAAGGCCACAATACTGTGTAGTGGTCGCTCTATCGTTATGTTATATATTATCTATATTCTGTAGTGGTGACTGTAACGTTATATACTGTGTAGTGGTCACTAACGTTATAAACTGAGCTGTGGCCCTTTATTACTCGTTAAATACAGTCTAGTGGTATATACTGTCTCTCTCTCACTCTCTCTCTCTCTCGTATATAGTCAGTCCTAGTTTTTTAAATTACTTCTATTTTCAATAATGAAACAAATATAATTACATCAAAAACATTTCGAAAACCACAAAGATTACAGCGGGAATAAAGCGAAGGGGTTTATAATCGAACCATACGAATAAATGGGCTTTTTGTAGCATTTGTTTACAGTCTGTACAGTATGTGAGTTTTTTTTTTGTTTTGTTTTGTTTAATAGTCTTCCTTCCACACAGTTCACTCATGTAGAGCCAGGAGCTAGCTGTGTGGATAGGTTGCATGAACATGATAAAACAGATACAATACATAGCATTGCATAAAGTGAAAAATGTACAATGTAATTTTCTTGAATTTCCTTCTGTTTTCTTGGTTCCATTTTTCCATGTTTCTTGATTTAATTTTCCCATGTTCTTCTGATTTCTTGTTTTTCATTTCCGGTTTCTTTACATATAGAGTACAGGACAATACATGATCGCTTCTCGGAGTTCTTGGCCTTTGTTCTTGCGCGTATAACTAACTTGATTAGGTTGTGGTTGATTCTTGGTTGGTAAATGTAGTTCGAGAGTATCAGTGAGGGGTGTTCCGTTGATGAAGGGATGAGTTTAGTGTCGTGGCGTTGATGATAGAGTTGAATCGATGAGGTATGGTGCGTTGGTGAAAGGGCGAGTCTCGTGTATTGTCGTTGATAGTAGAGTTGTTCGATGGAGTGGAGCTTGGAGAGAATAGTTGAGTTGGGGATCCTTGTGTTGAGATATCGTTTGAAGTGGGTTGCTTTGAATTATTGTTCATTCTGGTTTTCGAAAAGAGTGAAGTTGTGTCGTGGTCGAGTAATTGAGGTGGACGAAATGACGTTGAAGAGTGAAGTTTTTTTTTTTTTTTTTTTAAAATAATAATACTTTTATTTGCAATTAAAACAAGTACATCAACATCACATTTTTTTTACATAGTTTCAAATGAAAACGAAAGGTTTTGAACATCTACATAATGAATATTTACATGATGTCATGTATATGATATAAAAACAAGTAATTAAAAAAAGTCTAGTGACAATTTTAGCGCAATTTCCTTGTGTTATCTAAAAATAGCTCTGTCGTAGCGTAAATCAAGAGCAGGGTTAGTAAAACCATTGGTTAGTTATTAAAACGTTTTTTATTAATTTTTTTTTTCAGTATTTTACATGTTTTATTTACAATAGAGTAACATGACTAAAAACCATTGCGCGCCCAGCTACCGAACTTGACGTCGCAGCCATTGAACGTGATGGCGCAGCTATTGAACGTGATGACGCGTGTGGTGTGGTTGCATAAAATGCCTACTAATTCGGTCCAAATTTTAATTAATTCAAAAAAAAAAATTGTGACCGAACGAAAGGATATTTTTGAAAACTTTCTTCGGCAATATTGTTCTAAATTATGGCAGGAATCGATTGGTACATGTTTCAAGTCGCTAAGTGGTCTGGTTGCCGAGATATGGGCCAAAAACTGCTTTTTTTCGAGGTTTTTTGGCTTTTCCGGGAAATCCATGAAAGAAACCCGGAATTTTTATGGCCTATGTTCATCCTCGTAACTTGCATAACATAATTGCTTTTGGAACTAGTCATCGATATTGCTTCGTTGAGGAGGAGATACGACTTAAAGCTGCGGACACACATCCATCCATCCATCCATCCATCCATTCATTCATACATCCAGAAATGACGGGTTAATAAACGCAATTCTCCAGAATGGAAATTGCGCTAAAAAATACCAAGGATGACAATAAAAGGGGTGAAGGTCAAATAAAAGTGTCAGAAGTCTAGGTGGGGAGTGGAAAGGATATTGTTCAGAGAATGTCAATGGGACAGTGGAGCATTTTCTATGTAGGGAAACAAATTAAGTTGACTAGTTAAAAGAGTGTTTATTTATGTACTGGTCGCATTGAGTTTTCAAAAGGTTGCTGTGTGAAAAATGAGGGGAAAGAAACAAGATTTAGAACTTTAAATAAGTAGATGAATAGATATTCGAAATTGATGTTGGGTGGGTGGTGGGGTCGTTGGAACAGCTAAAGGGAAAGTGGGGTTTTCATGTCTGAGGGTAAGTGGATAGAGGGGGAGAGGGGGGAGTGGGTAGATGTGTCTGACGAGGCGTGGAGAGGGTGTGTTTTAAAGGCAAGCCAAGCGTCAAATTATGTGCTGTGTTATCTGACTGCTGAGGTGTTACCATTTATAGTGTGTGTGGGTGGGGGGGGGGGGGGGGAAGGTTTGACGAACAGATTGCTGTGTGAGCGATTTAGTGGGAGGGTGAAAGGTTGGTATGTTCAAGTCGGTGTTTATGTTTGTTTGGATGTTTAGTACCGACAGGTTAGGGGTGTGTAGGCGTGTTGCTATCACGAGGTTTGGGGATACAGTTCAGTTTTATAGGTAAAAAAATTGGTGTTCACATAAAAGAGTTAGTAAAGTTGACAAAACAACTGTAAGTGTTAATGTGGTGATAATAAAATGAATACAAAAGGAGAACGGGTCATTGGGGTCATTTTGTTCGTTGTGGACCAAAGTACCTTACATATATGATAATAGTAATATAGTAACAAATGATGGCTTTACAATGTTTGTAAGCCTTATAAATAAAACAATACACAAAAAGCAGCAATAGGAAAATGAATGGCAAATGATAAATGATGCGACACAAAGTGGGGACATGGGGGTTGAGGGGTGGGAGTTACATTAATGTTGTTAGAGATGTATTTGGATAATACATCATTTTCAATATTAAACATAGTATTTCATCACAGGGGTGGGGGTCATGGGGACGAGGGGATGCAGTTTTGAGGGGAAATTTGATATTGGGATCATGAGGTTTAGGGGCGGGGGGCGGGGAGGGTATGATGAGTGAAATTTCCTGATACAAAGTAGTTACCAAATTGAACGAGAGTGGCTGATCAAATTACATTGCGTTAAGAACAGAGTAATAAGAAAATAAATATCAAGAAAACTAAATGTTTACTGTATACAAGTTAAGTATTTTATAAAATTAAACGTTTATTTAAAAAAAAAACTTTGAATTTAAAATAATTGAAAGAATTTATGTATGTATTTTGAAAAATAACATATAACGTTATAAAATGCTTTGAATTCTTTTTTATTTTAACAGCTTTTGGTAACAAAGTTTTTGATAATGTCCCTTGGTTTGTCTTCTGGTTTCTAAATGGGAAGTAACAAATATATCTTAACACTGTTTAGAACCACTGTCTATACTCAATAATGTTCTATTATATAACAGACTTTAATAACAATTAGTTGCATGTTATATAAATATTTACATCTGTATGTTGTATATTTAAAAACATTTTTTGAAGGTGTCAACATTTAGTCTGCGCCTACTAGTTTGAAAACGCTACTCCTTGACGTTAAAACACCTGCTAATGCCCTACTAACGCGTTTAAAAACTACCAATTTTTTTGGGTTAAAACAGCAACACACAAACAATTCGCAATTCAAACCGTTTTCTTTACCTCACACATCTGCTATGGGACGGCGTGGTCGAATGTTGGAAAATATGACTACTAACCCGAAAGTCTTGAGTTCGAATCCCGCGTATTGTCAATAGAACGTCATCGAATCCTTACAGCGCTAAAGAGGACCTGACTCACGTTACGTCGCGGCGGCTGGCATATTGCTTATTCCACTATCAGTTCATATGTCGATGTCACTGAAACAGGCGAACTCTACTTCTCTTGCCATTTTTCTCCTACATGTGCCATATAGGGCTCTACAGAAAAGCAGCGAATTCCGTTCTTCCATTGCAAGAGTTTTGACCCACTCGTATTTATATTCATTATTTAATTAAGTCAGTTAAAAAATTAGAGAAATTGAGGACAGTCCTAATTGAGGCCTGCTCCTAATTGCAGATGCAACCTTGAAAAGTCTTCTTTATTCATTATTTAAAATATCCTATATTTAAAAAAAAAAAATCGTTTATTTTCATAGTTTTGAATATATTAGCCGATGAAACGAAATCTTTCAAATGGTGTTGTTTTAAAAAACAATTAAAAAACTCAATATAATTCCCACAGTTAAAAAAGAAACCCTTTAACTTTAATAAGCGGCTTTACACTGGATTAAGAAAAGTGAATTAATTTCTAAAGAAACTTAATCCACTTGTAACCCAAGGATTATGCAACCTGATTCCACGGCAAGAAAAACATGGTAAGAAAAGTGTTTAGTCACAGGTAAATATACTGAGACCAGGTGTATAGAACGTCTTTATTCAACAGTTTATTGGCGCGCGGGAAAGTCGGGTATAGACGTCTGGAACTCGACAAATCAATACGACGACTGAGTCACGTGATGAGGGTGTTGGACAAAGGCCACTGGGTTATGAAAGATATGGCTGGCTATGTGCATATACAAATGATATCAGAACTCAGACAATCGATGTATTGATCCTGTTTTATGTCCTAGTTCAGGCAGTTAAAGAAAATGTAAGGCTTAGATTTTAGACTGCTGGAGTTTGGTGGAGAGGGGGTAATCATTGTTTTGAGTTGCTTTAAAAAAAGTAAGAAAAATAAAAGTAAGAAAAATAAAAGTAAGAAAAATAAAATTTTTGTTTTGTAAAGTGAGTTTGTCTTGGACGTCAAGGTAAAAAAAAAGTATTTTTCTGACGTGTTAGGTTCTGTAGGAAATCTTCATGCTCGTGATCTGCTGAGCTTAATGACATGTATGACTTAAATGTAGGATACTAATGTTTTGTCGGGCGTTGGTGTTAAAGTAGGACAGTATTGTACGCTCCAGACCCCCCCCCCTCCCCCGCGACGAAATAGAAAAAATATACAGTTTATAAAGATGTATCAAGTATATTTTTAAAAAAGTCAAAGCCACCCCCTCCCTTCCCAAAGGAAATTAGTAAATTGGGCTAGGTCTTGGATTTAATATCTTGGGTAAAAGATATGATCTATGTCTTGGATAGGATGTCTTTGCTTGTAGACCTTGGACAAGAGGTATTAGGGTAGAGGCAATTAGATAGAGACACTAGATTAGTCTTAGGCTAGACGTCTAGGGTCTGTAGCTTTTGATAAGAGATCTTAACTGTTATACTTAAGGTCCCTGATTTCGCTTGATGTCTCGGGTATAAGGTCTTGTTACTCAGGTCTTTATAAGGTCTTGTTTCTCAGGTCTCTATAAAGTCTTGTTTCTTAGGTCTCTATAAGGTCTTGTTTCTCACGTCTCTATAAGGTCTTGTTTCTTAGGTCTCTAAAAGGTCTTGTTTCTCACGTCTCTATAAGGTCTTGTTTCTTAGGTCTCTATAAAGTCTTGTTTCTTAGGTCTCTGTAAAGTCTTGTTTCTTAGGTCTCTATAAAGTCTTGTTTCTCAGGTCTCTATAAAGTCTTGTTTCTCAGGTCTCTATAAAGTCTTGTTTCTTAGGTCTCTATAAAGTCTTGTTTCTTAGGTCTCTATAAGGTCTTGTTTCTCAGGTCTCTATTAGGTCTTGTTTCTCACGTCTCTATAAAGTCTTGTTTCTCAGGTCTCTATAAGGTCTTGTTTCTTAGGTCTCTATAAAGTCTTGTTTCTCACGTCTCTATAAGGTCTTGTTTCTTAGGTCTCTAAAAGGTCTTGTTTCTCACGTCTCTATAAGGTCTTGTTTCTCAGGTCTCTATAAAGTCTTGTTTCTCAGTTCTCTATAAGGGCTTGTTTCTCAGGTCTCTATAAAGTCTTGTTTCTTAGGTCTCTATAAAGTCTTGTTTCTCAGGTCTCTATTAGGTCTTGTTTCTCACGTCTTTATAAAGTCTTGTTTCTCAGGTCTCTATAAGGTCTTGTTTCTTAGGTCTCTATAAAGTCTTGTTTCTCACGTCTCTATAAGGTCTTGTTTCTTAGGTCTCTAAAAGGTCTTGTTTCTCACGTCTCTATAAGGTCTTGTTTCTTAGGTCTCTATAAAGTCTTGTTTCTCAGTTCTCTATAAGGGCTTGTTTTTCAGTTCTCTTTAAGGTCTTGTTTCTCAGGTCTCTATAAAGTCTTGTTTCTTAGGGCTCTATAAGGTCTTGTTTCTCAGGTCTCTATTAGGTCTTGTTTCTTACGTCTCTATAAAGTCTTGTTTCTCAGGTCTCTATAAGGTCTTGTTTCTTAGGTCTCTATAAGGTCTTGTTTCTTAGGTCTCTATAAGGGCTTGTTTCTCAGGTCTCTATTAGGTCTTGTTTCTCACGTCTCTATAAGGGCTTGTTTCTCAGGTCTCTATAAAGTCTTGTTTCTCAGGTCTCTATAAAGTCTTGTTTCTTAGGTCTCTATAAAGTCTTGTTTCTTAGGTCTCTATAAGGTCTTGTTTCTCAGGTCTCTATTAGGTCTTGTTTCTCACGTCTCTATAAAGTCTTGTTTCTCAGGTCTCTATAAGGTCTTGTTTCTTAGGTCTCTATAAAGTCTTGTTTCTCACGTCTCTATAAGGTCTTGTTTCTTAGGTCTCTAAAAGGTCTTGTTTCTCACGTCTCTATAAGGTCTTGTTTCTCAGGTCTCTATAAAGTCTTGTTTCTCAGTTCTCTATAAGGGCTTGTTTCTCAGGTCTCTATAAAGTCTTGTTTCTTAGGTCTCTATAAAGTCTTGTTTCTTAGGTCTCTATAAGGTCTTGTTTCTCAGGTCTCTATTAGGTCTTGTTTCTCACGTCTTTATAAAGTCTTGTTTCTCAGGTCTCTATAAGGTCTTGTTTCTTAGGTCTCTATAAAGTCTTGTTTCTCACGTCTCTATAAGGTCTTGTTTCTTAGGTCTCTAAAAGGTCTTGTTTCTCACGTCTCTATAAGGTCTTGTTTCTTAGGTCTCTATAAAGTCTTGTTTCTCAGTTCTCTATAAGGGCTTGTTTTTCAGTTCTCTTTAAGGTCTTGTTTCTCAGGTCTCTATAAAGTCTTGTTTCTTAGGGCTCTATAAGGTCTTGTTTCTCAGGTCTCTATTAGGTCTTGTTTCTCACGTCTCTATAAAGTCTTGTTTCTCAGGTCTCTATAAGGTCTTGTTTCTTAGGTCTCTATAAAGTCTTGTTTCTCACGTCTCTATAAGGTCTTGTTTCTTAGGTCTCTAAAAGGTCTTGTTTCTCACGTCTCTATAAGGTCTTGTTTCTTAGGTCTCTATAAAGTCTTGTTTCTCAGTTCTCTATAAGGGCTTGTTTTTCAGTTCTCTTTAAGGTCTTGTTTCTCAGGTCTCTATAAAGTCTTGTTTCTTAGGTCTCTATAAAGTCTTGTTTCTCAGGTCTCTATAAAGTCTTGTTTCTTAAGTCTCTATAAGGTCTTATTTCTCACGTCTCTATAAGGTCTGGTTTCTTAGGTCTCTATAAGGTCTTGTTTCTTAGGTCTCTATAAGGTCTTGTTTCTTAGGTTTCTATAAGGTCTTGTTTCTTAGGTCTCTATAAAGTCTTGTTTCTCAGCTCTCTATAAAGTCTTATTTCTCAAGTTTCTTTTATCCCACTGCCTCCGCAAAGATTGCCTTTTGATTGCGTTTTTAAGAGCTCCGCGGTGTCCCACAATACCGCTTATGCCGGCACTGAAATACGAGCTAAGCCGGCAAGTACGCGGATCGATTAAAAAAAAAATGTTTTAAATGTTTAAACGTTTATTCATGCCTGATCCTACTGCACGCTAGCAGCCAGGGAACCAGACGATACCATGACGTCACTTAATTGTCAGACGACAACAATGGCGTCACTAGCCCGAATACACGGCTAAACATTGTATCGAACAGCCCATACATGATTTGATTGTTTGTGATCACATGATTGAGGTTCGATCTATTCCCTGTCAGGTATCTGATCTATTGTGTTCAGAGTTTTAGGGATAGGCAATGAGAAATAGACTTTTTTTTTTCACAGTAGTCAGACATTTGTACATTATATATATATATATATATATATATATATATATATATATATATATATATATATATATATATATATATATATATATATATCACTGTGTACTCATTTCAGATATATCAAAGATTTCCCATTTAATCCACATTTAATCCAAAGTATTTAAGCTCTAACCCTAACCCAATCAGAATCAATATTCAGCATTGTTTATTTCTTTAAAAGTTGCCATTAGACCTATTACATAACTGCAGCGTCATGAATGCAAATAATTATTGATATCCCATCCGTCACTGATGAATTAATTTTTAGTTATTTCCTTTTATTGATTGCATTTCTAACTTAGTTTTTAGAGAACTTTGAGTATGCTTTTGTCTATATCATTTCTATTTAGTTGAACATATATATATATATATATATATATATATATATATATATATATATATATATATATATATATATATATATATATATATATATATATATATATATATATAAAAATTGTTGTGAATTATCACCTAGTCTGGGTAAACCACACAATCATATCAACAAGCATGTAAGCGGGCGAAGAGCAGAACAAAAATGCCCAGGAAAAACAAAATAAGAAAAACAGAACACAGAGAATCCGTTGAGAAAGAAAAGAATGTTGCCACCGCCCCTCGTGGCTAAACCAGGTGGTGCCATGCACTGGGTGGGGGAGGGGGAGGAATGGCCTTGCTGTAAGCCACGGGTCTAACGGCCGGCGACATGCATGTTAAAAGTGCTCGTTATTGTTATCCTGGATAATGAGCATTGTTTAAGTCGGTAATGAATGTATTCGAGAGAGGACGAGGGAGAGGGGGGTTGGGGGAGGAAGAGGGAGAGAGAGAGAGAGAGAGAGGGAGGGAGGGAGGGGAGTAAAGATAGAGAAGAAGAGGAGAGAGAGAGTGGAGGATGAAGCAAGTGTCTTTAAACCACTTTGTTAAGTATTTATGTCTTAAAGGACCTTCGAGTACTAATTTTACTTTCCTAAACGAAAGCTACTAAGTGGATATTCTTTGGGGGGTGGGGGTGGAGTTGGGGTTGGTAGTGGGTAGAGGGGGATCAAATAAGGACTTTTGTGACATAGCACATGTTTTGATTTGTTTAAGAGCAAACTTGACGAATAAACATCAGTTTCATAAGACGTTTGTCTAAAAGATTAGGGAGAAGGGTTGGGGTGGCTTTATGACGTCATTTTAGATGTGTATGTGTGCGTATGTGTGGAGGGGGTGGGGGCTGCCTATTTTCTGTCAAATTATGTGATAAGAATTAGAGGTAAAAAAAAAGTAGGTTGCGTGATTTTATGACAGACCCCTAATATATCAATGGACCAAAAATGAATAGCAAATTTAAGACGGTGTTGAATTTCTAACTTGAAAAAAGTAAAAAGTTTAGTTGTAACAATGACAAAATTACCTGGCCAGTTTTGTTAAGGACTTTGTTAATGCCGTAAAACCGGAAGTAGTTTCCCACGTGCTTGTCCCTCTGCGAGTTGTAGGGCGGGATGACGGGGCCCAGCTTGGGGTTGACCCGGCTGTAGTCCTGCGAGATGCTGCTGGTCGCCTTACAGTCCAACACGAAGGACTTCTCCTTCAGGAGCAGTTCTGGGGGTTCAGGGGTCACAGGGGTGCGGTAGATTTTGTTTTCCCGACCCCGGATCACGGCCGACTGGGATTTTTTCTTTTTGTCTTGACTTTTTTTCGAGTTCTGAGATTTTTTGTTTTGTTTTTTGCCGTCTTCGTCTTTCGGTTCTTTGGAAGTTTCTTCTTTTTGTTGGTCTTCTTCCTGGTCTGCGGGTGTAGTGTCTTTCTTTTTTTGATCCTGGTCAGCCATGGCTTGTCTATCACAGTTCAGGAATAACAGGTATATATATATATATATATATATATATATATATATATATATATATATATATATATATATATATATATATATATATATATATATATATATATATATATATATATATATATATATATATATGAGTGTGTGTATATATATAAAGGAATAACAGATATATATATATATATATATATATATATATATATATATATATATATATATATATATATATATATATATATATATATATATATATATATATAAACATATATATATATATATATATATATATATATATATATATATATATATATATATATATATATATATATATATATATATATATATATATATATATGTGTGTGTGTCTGTGTGTGTGTGCGTGTGTGTGTGAATAATAAAATTCATTAACACAGGCACATTCACACACAGAAGGGACGGTATGGTCAAATGGTAAACATACGAATGCAAACCGAAAGTCTCGAGTTCGAATCCGGAATCAAGTTCGTGTATCTTTCTAAGTTCACCCAGCTCTGATGTGTAGGTTACACAACTCACGTTAGGGAAAGTAAAGGTGGTTTGTGCATAGTGCTGACCACATTCTCCATCTAATTCCTCATTTCCTTATTTCACTTCCCCCCCCCCCCCCCCCCCCCAATCTGTAACCACTCCCACCATCAATACGTTTCAACAATGTGCCCCCCCCCTTTATATCCATTCCTACCCTCCACCCAAGTCAAGCATTAAAGAATATGCAACAGTAAGTAGAAGCCTGTACGTTTATATCCATTCGTTTTGTTGGAGAGCAGACATGACTTATCACATTATAAATGCTGCAGAAACCTTATCAAGTCTATTACCACATATGCATTTTTTTTTATCCCTGTCAGGTATATTGGCAAGTAGACAGCTTTGGTTAAAAAAACTCTGACTTTATAGGTTAAGCAAAGGGGAGTTAGAAAGATTAGCCATACACTAAACTTCGCATAGAACAGCCCCACTAATCTCAACAATACTTTGATACTTTAATGCACTGGGTTAGGATATGCTGCTAGTGTTGTAGTGTTAAGCTAGGGATATAGGGAACAGAGTTTATTCCAGGGGGCGGGGGGGGGGGGGGGTGAAGAAAGTCTACCGCCTACCGAACGAAATGGAATTTATATAGTAAATATATACTTTTACCAGTGTCTGACTCCCCCCCCCCCAGAAAATTTAGTCCGCCCTCCCCTCTTGCAAAAATATCAAGTCGCCCCCCCCCCCCCACCTGGAGAAAAAAAGTCCGAAAGAAACACAGATATCGCTATAGGCTACATTAGAAATTCACTAGGCATAGATCATATAGTAAAGTAATGTATATAGTTGACTTATATTTTTATCATATAATATATGTAATATGGCCTATATCTTGAAAAAGTACCTAGCATTTAATAATTACATAACAAACCCACAATCATTCATTAAAAAAAAATTAAACCTACCAGTATTTCATAAAGTCTTACGGTAAATGAAAAAAATACACTTTTAATTAACAACAGCACTGAAATCAACCGAAGCACCCCCTCCGACAGACGGCACAACTTTTCTCACAACAAAACTTCGCGTGTCGTCAACGAGCACATATCGCTACACACTTAGCCGCGATAGGTTGCTAAAGACGCCACGGAACGAGACGTGTAGGACTGTTGCTAAGAAAGCCGTGGCATTAGAGTTATCTCGCCTGGTTCAGGAGGGTGTTTTAAAGCTGAACTAAATTTTATTTCTACACTGTTATTTTATACTACACACACTTTTTAAGTCAAAGTAAAGTGTATAAATACATTTATGTACTTTAAGTAAATTTATACACTTTACAACTAGCTATTAGTTGTATTTTTTAAAATTTATAGTTCACTTAATCAAATAGGCCTACAGCTTTTTTTTAGAGTTTCCAGGGAGGTAATTCAGGGTACAAAAATGTATTTGTTAAACACGAGTTGTATACCTGTATAAAGTGATGAATATTGATTGTATTTTTATTTAATTAATTTGTTACCCTTCCAACAATGTGGGTGTTCACATATTATGCACATTGAAGGGGTAGGGGTGTTTTATCATTTTAAAATAATTTATTGCATGGTGATTCTCATTAATATTTAACAAAAAAAATTAGTTTTGAAATACCAACGTTGTGTTTAGTGTGTATGTTTATGTACGTGTGTGTCAGTGTGTGTGTGGGGGGGGGGGGGGGTACAAAAAAGGCGGTAGTAAATGGGAATGTCATGTAATGTTGTGTATGGTAGAGTGCTGGTAAAAAATGTTGCAAAAATTATGAGGAGTTGGAGATATTGAGTGTTTGTATGTGTATGGGGGGGGGGGGGGGGGGGGGGGGGAAGGGGGGGGGGGGCGACGCCTAGGAAAGCTACTGAATATTGCGCCTGATTTTGTCTCAGTCTGTTTTGTTCATTGTTCCTACTCAAAACATCAGAATGCTTGTGATTTAGCTACACATCACACAAAATGACGACGTTTTACTCAACAAAAATAAAATAAAAATAACCACCCCAAATAAACCTCCATAACTCCATAAAACAAAAGAAAAAACAGCAAAGAATTAAATTAAATTGAAAGAAATCACAAGATTAAATTAAGTGTTCAAAAATTATCGATGTAATAAATTATAAACAGAAAATGAAGCAGTAAGCCATCACTTGTTTTGTTGTTGTTGTGATGTTTATTAAAATAGTGCAAATGATAGAAGCTTAAACCTTAATCGTTCTTATCGATGAAACACATAGTTCTTATCTTGCATACAACAGTAACATTTCTGATTCATTTTTACACATTTGCACATGTTTATGCAACAACATATTCTAGTATACAATATCTTTATAGTTAATAAAAGATGTGCGATTTAACCAAAGATGAATAAAATGATAGGTATATAATTATGATGATGAATTATAGTCACAAAAAATGTAGATGTTTTAACGAGGATACATCACAGTTGTGGGTACTTCTATAATAGCTGATAGGGTAATGTTATATTGGATTTGTGTCGTTTTTTTGCCTGTATGGTTGATAGGTTAGTGTTATGGATAAAACAAGATTAGTGTCAACTCTAGATTTTTAGTGAGGGGCAGTGTATTTGGGTTATAGTTTAGGTCGGGGTTTCGGTAACAGAAAGTTTGAAACTCTGTTGGAGAATATGTAAGTAATGAAGTCTAGTCCGTGTTGGGTGTGTGGTTGGTACTACAGTCCTAAGGAGTTGAACTTGCTTGAATTAGGCTTCTATGAAGTCAAGTTTGGTTGAACTAGGGTCCTAAGGACTTGCACTAAGGAGATAAGTTTGTTGAACTAGGGTCCTATGAAGTTGACCTTGGATGAAGTAGAGTCGTACGGAGTAGAATTAGGGTCTTATGGAGTTGAGTAAGGTTAAACTACGTTCCTATGAAGTTGAACTGGGTTGAACTGGGGTCGTATGGAGATACGTTTGTTGAACTGGAGTCCTATGGTGTTGAGTTTGTTTGAACTAGGGCCCAACGTATGTATATTTGTTGAACTAAGGTCCTACGTAATTTTATTTGTTGAACGAGGGTCCTACGGAGCTGCGTTTGTTTGAACTAGGGTCCTACAGAGCTGAGTTTGGTTGAACTAGTATCCTACAGAGGTGAATTTAGTTGAACTAGGGTCCTACAGAGTTGAGTTTAGTTAAACTAGGGTCCTACAGAGTTGAGTTTAGTTAAACTAGGGTCCTACAGAGTTGAGTTTAGTCGAACTAGGGTCCTACAGAGTTGAGTTTAGTCGAACTAGGGTCCTACGGCGTTCAGTTTGTTGACTTGAAAGTGTAGACAGGCGGACACCATCAACAAGATACCACCGAAGATGACGAGAAACAACGAACACCCGGGGCTCAGGGTGTCGACCGTGGGGTTCAGGCTCTGCAGCGCGTGCACGTCCACGAGGAACAAGATCCCCACGAAGACGGCCAGGATCCCTCCGGTGATGGCAAGACCCATCGTCACAAACGGCAGGTACTTCTGCGCCTTCACGGTTTTCCCGGTGTAGTCCAGGAAGAAGACCACGCCCTGGATGACGAAGCACAAGACGGAGAGCACGAGAGACAGGAGGAGGAAGATCCAGATGATGGTGTGGAGGCTGCCTCGGTTCCGCTTCAGCACGTCCAGGGAGGCGCCGAAGGGGCTGGGGTAGCGGAACCAGCCGTCGATGCTGATGGAGAGGCAGACGAGGAGGAAGGCGACGAAATACACGCACCAGAGCGTCAGATCGTGGACGTTTCTGGCGCCCATCTTAGAGAGGTTTTAAGTCTGGTCTTACACGGGAGACAGCTGCTGATACAAAAGAAATACACTATATACACACCCTACATAGAAAACAATGTATATATATATATATATATATATATATATACATATATATATATATATATATATATATATATATATATATATATATACATATATATATATATATATATATATATATATATATATATATATATATATATATATATATATATATAATTATATTACTAGCATATATATTACTAACAATTTTCGTAAAAGCGAAGCATTTGAGTATCGTCTCAACATTTTTATTGAACGGTGTCATTATCGTTGTTTAAAATCAAAATATACTGTCATTATAAAGTATTATAGCATAATGAAAGTTTTAGAAATCAGATCTGGTATAAAACCATGCTTTTCAATACAAAAGAAAAACATTTGGAACATAACTAAAATATTAGTCTTGCAGTTAAGATCATACATTTTTTAATTAGCTACTGCTATTTGTGTTCTTTAAAGATCATTTTTAACATAATGGTAAGGTATGGGTTAGATCCCTGTATTGCTCACACACCTTTTTACTGGTAATTGCAAAAACAATGTTCAAAGAGTTTTATGTTTCAAAAGCTATGATTCTGGCAGCATGGTACTTTGGTACATCATTACGCGGTTCCCCAAATGTACCTAACAGATCAGTTGGGGGTGGGTGGGGGTCAACTTCTTCACCACTGTCCGGTCACTTTAGGTCAATTATCCTACCTATCTTATACCTAGGTGTGACATTAATGTCGCTCTACACAATAGCCTGTCCCGTTTTAGTTGGTGAGGTGGGGGGGGGGATAACCAAATCAGAGTAAACATAGCGTCAGTTTATAGATGACTGTTCTAAACATACATATACAATTTTACATATATACTGATTCAAAAATAGATTTAAATAAGTAACAGCGGTATTATGACCGTACAATTTTTTTTACAGAAGTGTCCATGGGGGGGGGGGGGGTTAAACCCCCCCCCCCTACCCCCTTACCTACGCCACTGTTTCATATATTTAATCGGGAAGCCTAAGCGAGAGAAAATAAGATTTTTTTTCACATTTTGATCTTCTTCCGGTTTTTTAAGTAAGCTCACAACTAAATATTTTTTTATTTAATTAAAACAAACATAATAAAATAAAAGTTTAAATATTGAAAGGGACACGGACTTAATTTAATTAATTTAAAGCTGAATAACTGAACGAGCTAAGTACAGTTTTATAATCCAACTTCACTAGTAAACACTTACATTTCATCTGTTGTTGCTTGGAATAAAATAGTGATCTACTTTAGTGCAAAATGGTGCAAATACAACTTTCTAGTGCTGAAATTTGCATCCACAGTGAAATTTTTAACAAGCTTTTATTTAAATTGCTTTCCCTGTCTGGCGTGCTTACTGCTTCGTCCGTCATAGACTGAAACTGGCAAGCGAAATTTCGACCACTTCTACCAATTTCTTTCAAACTGGGGGCTTGGGGCAAGATCCGATGACAATGCAATGTGACAATACCTTTTACTTCATTGGATTCTTAATTAATTTTTAAGAATTAATTAAATTTCCCAATAAAACGTAATATTTTCCTCAAAATTATAAACACGTTTGTGTATTTAATTAGTGCACAATTGTTTTTAACCATGCTATTCTACTGTGTAAATTTTTTTAAAGTATTGAAAAAATGCACAAAAAACGTTTTAATAACAAGCTTTTATATAATTATGCACTAAAAAAGAGAAAATAAATGATTTTCATTAAAATATTACATATAACAATGAACTACTATTCAATTAACTAAAAAGAAAAGCGTTGATCGCTATATTATGTATTGAATACCTTTTTATTTTTAGACGAAAAGAAGACGCACAAAATCACGACAGACAGAGGAAGGAAGTTAAATAAAAGCTTGTAAAATTTAGTAAAAGAAAACTTAAAAAAAACCAAAACAAGCTTTAATATGATTATGCACTACGTTGTAGAAAAGAAATGATTTTCTTTAAATACAAAGTAACATAGTAATACACTATTTAAATAGCTGTGAAGAAAAGCTTAGGTCGCGATATTATCTATTAAATACCTTTATTACAGATTAGTGCATAGTTATATAAAACATGTTATTAAATAGTTTTTTTTTGCAATCTATCACTCACTACGCTAGTAGGTGTATGTATGTAGCCTATACTTTTATTAAGTCGATATATCTATTTTGCATCATAAACAATACTTATGACAAAGTCGAGACAGGAGTATCACACATATGTCGGAGATGGGAAGCTACACAGCCAATCTTGGCAGACATAATTTCTATTTATATCTTATTAAAATTGTGTAAGCCGATTCCCCCCTTTCCCCTACCCATAATAATGGAGTATTTAAAAACCGCACTCGCACACACATATACACGCACGCTAAACACACGCACGCACACACGCACAAATAAAAGAAATATTAAAACAAACAACACATACTATTGATCCAAGGGTTTAAAATAAATTACTAAAATTCTTTCGGTTAATTAATTATTGACGTTAGCTTATTACTTCTAGTAACTTTCTTATCAGACGTTGACTTGTGTTTTCCGTTTTTTTTTCAAAATAAACCTACACAGTGTTTAACATAATCAGTCGTCACAGGAAGATTCGTTACACTTTCAACTGCTGAGGTCTTGTGTTAGTAATCTATTGCACAGAGAGAAAGTAAAATATTTTGGTGCTAAAGTAGAGGTGTTAAACGTCAAGTAAGGTAAGTTTACGGCTAGTCAGGTATTTTATGTTAAGTCAGGGATTTATGTTAAGTCAGGTAATTTTATGGTAAGGCAGTGATTTATGGTAAGTCAGTGATTTATGGTAAGTCAGAGATTTATGGTATGTCAGGTATTTATGGTAAATCAGGGATATTATTGCATGTCAGGGTTTTTATTGTATGATAGAGATTTTATGATAAATCAGGGATTTTTTGAATGTCATGGATTTTATGGTATGTCAGGGGTGTATAGTATGTCACGGGTGTTATAGTAAGTGATGTTTTATTGTAATACATAACAGCAGAAAAAAAATTATAGGTTTTTATATTTGAGTATTTTTTGGGTGCTTTCTTGTCTTAAAGGGACGCATACACCCGCATATACATATTGAAGGGACGCTTACACCCACATATACATATTGAAGGCACGCTTACACCCACATATACATATTGAAGGCACGCTTACACCCACATATACATATTGAAGGCACGCTTACACCCAGATATACATATTGAAGGCACGCTTACACCCACATATACATATTGAAGGCACGCTTACATCCACATATACATATTGAAGGCACGCTTACACCCACATATACATATTGAAGGCACGCTTACACCCAGATATACATATTGAAGACACGCATACACCCACATATACATATTGAAGGCACGCATACACCGACATATACATATTGAAGGCACGCATACACCCACATATTTAAATTTACACACAGATCAGAAAGCTAGCGTCGTTTTGTGCATTTTCCGTTTCCATACCACTAATATCTGGCTACGCCCCTAGAAAATATTCAGACTTTACTTGGAGTTAAGTTTCTGACGAAGACTAGTTTTTATAACACTATGATGAATAGGGACTGATACGCATTTCGGGTTAGCAATGAAAAATGCTTCTGCTAAACTTAGATTAAAGGTGTATATATTCACATAATATAAAAACAAACATAGAGTATTAAAAGTTTCTAATTAGATATGATGGCGCCAAAATGTTGTTGTATAGTGAAGTTAATTTGACCAAAATGTTGTATAGTGAAGTTAATTTGACCAAAATGTTGTTGTATAGTGAAGTTAATTTGACCAGATGACCACTGTGACGTCATTGTTGCTGATGCTGGTGGCTTATGTCGCTGTGACGTACGCAGCAAAAGATTATGGCGTCGCCTTGTCCAAGTCGATTCTGTTTTACGACGCCCAAAGGTACGTCTTATTCAGTGGTTCTTAATGTTTTGGGGCGTACCGAACCCTGCCAGCTTCAAATGCGCATTCACCGAATCCTTCTTAATAGGAAAAATAAAATATTTTAAAATTCGGTGTGTCTTGACCCCCGCTGAATTTCTGAAACGTACTCACCGAACCCCCGAGGTTAGATCGAACCCCATGTTGAGGACCACTGGTCAAATTGAAATCTTTGTGCTTATCAATGTACCTCAATGCCAGCTTCTCGTTTTGTCTCATAATTGTATGGAAAATTCGCAGAAAACATAAAAAGTACAGCCTGTTGATCATTTGCAGAAATATCTGATCCGTTCATTTATAAGGAAAACTTGAAAATTGTAATGTAAACATCACTAATCCGATTATATAAAAAGGTGACAAAGGTTAGTTAGGTCAGCCTATCGCGATCCTGGAACATAGGTCGCTGACAAGAGCTTTCCAGGCATCTCTGTCCTGGGCTAGGCTCTTCAAAGTCACGTCTCCAGGTCTTTCTTGGTCGGCCTGTTTTTCTGTTGCCCTATGGATTTCAGATTATTTGTATAGAAGGATGAAAAATGTTATGTAAAGATCACTTAATTTCTAATGATTGTTGAATAAGTGTTGCTTAAAGATCATATTTTATACGTAAAGGTGTTTGAATAAATGATACTTGAGATCACACATTCTATGATAAGATGTTTGAGTACATTGTATGTGTAGACTATAGATCGTAGATCACCGCTCGTTGAATTAATCTGCTACATGTGATTCCCCAGGTCAGGTAAACTCCCCGCCAACAACCCCATCCCGTGGAGGGGAGACTCCGCCCTCAACGACTGTGTGGTGGGGGGCTGGTACGACGCTGGGGACTACATCAAGTTTGGGCTGCCCCTCTCCTACACGACCACGGCCCTGCTGTGGTCTCTGGTGAGGTCAGTCACCTGACTACACTCCTGGTAAAGTCGATAGTTAGTCTACTTCATCGCCGGTAGACAAGATCAAACCTAGACTTTTCTGTCTTTGTTTCTGTTGTGGTTTTGCATGATGAGAGGTCTCTGATTCATGGACAACATTCTGGGCTCTTCTCATCCTACTGCCCAGACTTTCTGCTTGTATTTCCAATACACAACCATCCATTGGTCTATTATAATTAGACTATGGAGCCATGTAAAAATATAACTTTGTTTTCAAATTTCCAAAAGGAAGTATGAATCAATTCAATGTTGTGAATTCGTTAATAAACCGTATACAGAAATTAGTTAAGCAAAAGTAAGCCAAGTCAAAGACCTTTGGTACTTTAAACTTATAATGGCTAGATTTAGCAAACAATTTTGAACAACTTTACATATCGAGACCTAACAACATGAATCTTTTTATCCCCTAAACATATTTTTCTATGGTTTATAACGATGACGATGTCCAGATTCAAAGATGGCTACCAGAGGGCGGGTCAGCTTGATGAGATGTACGACATGATCAAGTGGCCCCTGGACTACTTCCTCAAGGCCTGGGACCCGGGACAGAAACATCTGACGGTGCAGGTGGGGGACGGGAGGGATCATGACTACTGGGGGCGGGCGGAGGATATGACCATGCCTAGACCCTGTCAGGTCGTCAGTGCTTCGCACAAGGTAGGTACTATACATTTGACAGGTGTTAATATACAAGGTAAGTGCATTACATTAGATAGGTGAAAATACACAAGGTAAGTGCTTTACATTAGATATGTGAAAATACACAAGGTAAGTGTTCTTCATTAGATTGGTGAGAATACACAAGCTATGTTCTTTACATAAATGGGTAGATAGTGATTTACATAAGATTGATTGAAATATACAATTTACTTTTTATCATTAGACACACGCACGGCAAAATATCCCTCAACTACATTCACCAATCAAATATCTCCAACACCTTCCAACCATCCACAACCATCTACAACCACAGACAACCACTAGTTTACTACTCCTAAAGTAGCTGTTAAATCCTATGGATTTTCCTTGAAGGGCAGCGACATAGCTGGCGGCACGGCTGCGGCTCTTGCAGCTGGTGCTATAGCTTTCAAGGACAAAGGTGACACAGCTTACAGCAACCAGCTTCTTACGGCGGCTCAAAGCTTGTACGCTTTTGCTAAAGCTAACAGGTAATATATAGGTTGATCCCTCAACTTTACGTGTTTTCTTGAGATCTATTGCTTCGTCCTGCCGGATGTCCTCTTCTAGACTAATGTCCTCCCTCATGTCCTTCTCTAGCATCATGTCCCCATTCATGTCCTTCTCTAGCATCGTGCCATCATTCATGTCATCTTACAGCTTTAGGTCCTACGAAACGCCAATGTTGTCGACAGCCGCACAATGTCTTAAAATTAACAAAACAAAACGTACAGAAATGATCAAATTTTAATAAATACGATCTCTAAAACTAAGCGCGCTGTGTCTCACTTGCAGGGGTTTGTTCAAAGGTGCGGCCGAGTTCTACGACACCAGCGGAGACTATGACGAGATGTGCGAGGCCAGCATCTGGCTGTACAAGGCCACAGGCAGCAGTCAGTACTTGGCAGACGCCAAGTCCTTCGCGGATACCGAGACAGCCTGGGCGTACAGCTGGGACGATAAACAAAGTAAACAAACGCGCTTATTATTGAAAATGTGTACCATTCTTTTTAATGAATTGATTGGTCAACTAACAAATAGGTATAATTTAACCTTAAAATTGAAATATCCTTGTAATCATAAATCAGTCTATGATTCATCGGAATAAATATAAAAAAAACCCCGCCATTTTTAAATGAGCTTAAACCAAAATTGGTTTATTTTTATAGCTTTAATGTTTTTCCATATAATTTATTTAATTCACACGGGACATGTTTTAGTGTCCTATCTTGTATAATCTGATATGAAACCCCGCATGTTTTTATAATATTAAACCAATCAGGCATGCTTTACAAAAATACTGACACGTTTTTGTAATAAATCTGGCATGTTCTGTTTATTTTGAATCCAAACAGGCAATAAACAAAGCACATATCTAAAAAAAATCTAACAATAAATTTAGAAGCCTATATTCCGATAAAAAACCGTATATTTTCTGATAAAAATTCTGGATTGTTTTAAAACAAATGTGGCTTGCTGTAAAAACTGTATGTATTTCTACATCCAGTCGCCTGCCAACAGCTGTTGTACGAGGAGACGAGAGACAATCAGTACAAAAATGCTGTCGTCGCTTACTTCCATGACTGGATGCCCGGGGGTGGGGTCCATTACACCCCGTGTGGTCTGGCCTGGAGGGACAAGTGGGGGGCAAGCAGGTAAGATGGCCGTTTATGGTGTAATGGTGTGAGTGCATGTACGCATGTATGCATGCATGCATGTATGCACGTATACATGTATGCATGTATGCATGTATGCATGTATGCATGTATGCATGTATGCATGTATGCATGTATGCATGTATGCATGTATGTATGCATGCACGCATGTATGCATGTATGCATGTATGCATGTATGCATGTATGCATGTATGCATGTATGCATGTATGCATGTACGCATGTACGCATGTACGCATGTACGCATGTACGCATGTACGCATGTACGCATGTACGCATGTACGCATGTACGCATGTATGCATGTATGCATGTATGCATGTATGCATGTATGCATGTATGCAGGTATGCAGGTATGCATGTATACATGTACGCATGTATGCATGTACGCATGTATGCATGTACGCATGTATGCATGTATGCATGTATGCATGTATTAAAAGCCTGGAAGAAACTCTGGACTGGACTCAGGACTTCGTTTTAGTAGTCGAGTGCTCTACAACTAGTCCACGTCGTCTGTTTTTGTTTTAAAATATTCTTAAACGTAATATTTAATTTGATCCTTGGTTTAAATAACATTTATAGATTAGATTTTATGTTATTTCTACAAAAGATAAATGCATATTCTTTGTTTTGTTACAGCTATGCCGGAAACTCAGCATTTATCGCCCTTGTTGCGGCCGAGTCTGGAATCGATACCACCCGGTACCGGAAGTGGGCGGTGGAGCAGATCAACTACCTCCTCGGCGACAACCACCACAACGGCGGCTGCTACAGTTTTGAAGTTGGCTACGGCAGCAAATACCCCCTGCACCCTCACCACGCTGGGGCATCGTGCCCCGACAAACCGGCGCCCTGCGGCTGGGCGCAGTATGAGAGCACCGCCCCCAACCCCCATGTCTTACACGGCGCCCTGGTGGGGGGACCTGATCAAAACGACAACTACCACGACGTCAGGTCAGACTATGTCCAGAACGAGGTGACCACGGACTACAACTCTGGATTCCAAGGGGCACTAGCAGGCATCTTGCACTTGCAGGCGACAGGGCATATGCCCACCACAGCCAACAAGTGCCCTTGTACCGCTTAAATGGCATTTAATTAAAATTATACCACACCTCGCTTAATAAATTATGAATAAATATATGTATTCCATGTTTTTTAAATTTAGTTTACAATGTCCGTTAATTTAGTTTTTGTTTGTGGGTTTGTTGCAACATTGGAACTCAGTTTCAACCCTTTTCTAATGCAACTATTTCTTTCAAACTTTTCGGATGCATAGATCTCTATATTGACGATGCAATAGCATCTAATTTGTAATCTTATTATGCATTAAATTAGTCATTAAAATTAGGTTAAAAGATGGCTAAATTCAATAACACAAGGGGAGATAACATTATTAAATACTTGTGATTTCTTCACCAGCTTGTCGATGACGATAAACACAACCGAATAAACTGTTGGTGTCAGCTGATTGGTTTTTGTCTGAGAGTGGACTTGGAAGGTTCTGACAATGTTTCAGAGATCGCAAGCCACTGGTCGTATCTTAAAGCAAACATTTTTACTTGCATGCATTGTAGATTTCATTTAAGGGAACAAGATACCCATGTTTTCGATAAAATGTTAATTTTGCTACCCAAAATTTTTATTTCTTAATTCGATACTAATACCTTTTATCTATCTAACCCGAACATTTCGGACTTCTACAGCTTACGGTTATCCGTTTATTGCGATGTGAAACATGGTACCCCCCGTCAAGTTTTCACACTACAACGCGGACAGCGGCTATCTTCGAGCGGATATTACATCATTTATTGCCCGCGAGGCACCATAAACTTTACAGCAATCTAAGGGCCAAGCACTCGTGTACCCACTGGTGTAGTGACCTTTTCTTTTGTTCTAAAAATAATTGGGATAGAAGTTGTTTTCTACAAAGTAAAATTTTCTATTAAACTCCATATAAGGGCATGCGCGTAAAATTTATGAATGGGAAGAGGTTCATTGATACGCTTGACCAATCATATTATAGTACAGTAAATCAAAATAATTCACGATAGGCTGCAACTAACCACGTGTGCTAGGCAGCCATCTTGTTTCTAGATAAACAAAACAATCGCCTGTCTCGTTTGTTTACCTTATTTGCGTATACTCTTCTTGTTGTTTTAAAGTTATACAACAACATTAAGTTTAATAATTGAAACTTTGCCTAGAAATGTACTGTTGATTATCACTGGAACAATATTAAACACTGTTGCGTACGCTTTAAAATTATACTAAGCTGAAACAATGCGTCATGGACATGACTATCAGGTTGAAGAATGTACTGTCCATCCCCTTTACCCCCTTCATTCCCTTCTCGCCATTCAACCAACGGCCGGTTTATAATCTTGTTACGGCATGCTGTGATAGGCTTGAACGCGTTCATCAGGCTTTACATCGGACTGTATACGACACATGTGTTAATGTGTATGCCCATCTCTCCGTATAGGGTGTGCTAGCAACGAATGTAAATACTAGATAGTAGTAGATAGGATAGCTGGGAAGTATTCACTTAGGCCCTGTACTTGACCCTATCTACACAGATGTGTTATTCGCGGTTGAATGAACATTGGTAATCTATGGCTCATCGGTTCCTCATGCACTATCCAGCGGTGGGATGGGGTGGAGGGGCGTGTCTAGCCTCAAGCGTTGTACCTAGTGTTGTGTTGTAGGCTATTATCATAAGGCAATAAACTTGTGTAAGCTACAATTTGAGTAGAGAAAGACATTGTTTTGAAGTGAGAAGACCGACTAACAAACAAAACTTTATCTGGTTTGATGATAGCTGTTCTGAGAATACCGCTCGATTGATAGGATGTGTAATACTTAATAGTCATACATTCATTACCTGTTGTATACATATTTTCTGCTTACATAGAAAAAATCTATCTAAAGCTTACAACATAAATCAAAGCGTATTTTATTAGACAAATGGTTCTTCCACATATAACAAGACGTTTTTTTCTGTTTTCTATAAGAGAAAACGCACCGCGCCTTTTCCCGCTCTTCTTTTCACGTTTTCTCAACTTTGCATTTTTACTCAAAATTCGACATTCAAATCGCTAAGGCTTTGGAACCCTTTGTCATACAAGAATAAAACTATAATAGATTGACGACAGAAGCCTGTGGTTGTATATAACACATTTAATGGGTCTAACTACTTCATGATGGTAACACCCAGAGAGGACGGAAGGAAGTACACAAGGGACATCACTCAAGATAACAATATTATAAATATAACTAATACAGAAGAGTGAGTTCCCTTGACCTCACAATTATTTCAATCTATTACATCCCTTTACCCTTAGAACACAATAACACATCTCTCAATAGAACAATTGATAGTATCCTAAAATCACCAATTATATTGTAACATGAACACTATGGTAGATTACATCCTTACAAACAATGCACAATATGCTACAACATAATCAAAATACAAAACAATAATGTCAAAGTCCTTTTGACCTTTAGAATCATAGGTCTAACTTATTTGGGACTTTGATTGTCCTGTTTGACCTTCTCAGTGGCTTTTGATTTGGTGACTCAAGATTCTGACCATCTGGATTCTCTATCTCAGGAGGTCTAGGATTTAAATCATTAACTCCAGAATTTACATTTTCTGACTCCAGACAACTTGGTTCACTCATATCAACAGAACTTGGTTGTGGAACAAACTGAGTTGGTGTGAACTGTTCAGACTTGGTGGGATTGACAGATTCACACTTATTATCTGCACAAGTTATTTTTAACTTTATAAGGCACAGGTCCTGTACATTGAACAATTTGACCTGGTATCCATTTTTCCTTTCTCCCATAATTTCTTAGATACACATTCTTATTAACACCAAATTCTCTTTCAATGAATGTTTGTCATGATTTAATGGAACTATTTTTGAATTGGCATCTGAAAGTATTATGCTATTATTCAGATCCTTAACTGACATAGATTTCTTTGATTGATCCATTTTCTCAGGTAATCTGATAGTGCTTTCATGGTAACCAAAAATACTGTTTAAAAGTAATATCCTGGACAATATCACTTTGCAACTGTGATCCAGTATTTGAAGTGGGTGTATTAAATGGCAAAAATCTTTTTCTTCTTTTGATGTTACCCTTTTAGTTTCTGTAAGTGCTAATGATGTTAGCAAAGTTGTTTGATGATCACATTCCTTCTTATTTAATGTATTCTCTTTAAACATTTGAAATTGCCATATCACCATAATCCTTTATTAAGTTATAAATACTTTGTTTAGGCAACTCTGACTGATAATGGACTGCATCTTCTCCATCTTTTATATTATCTTCACAAAGGGTTTTAATTTCTTATTTTATATGGCCTTAAGTCATCATTCACAGACTCTTCAGGCCAACCATTCTTACAGTACTCATATACTTTTATTAAGCACTCATCTTTTTGTGTTTCTCTTTTAATATCATTCACATCTATATTGGAGTTATCCATGATAGTGAAGAGAACAAATACATCTTCTGGTACATAGCTCAGGCTTTGGTTTTTTAAAGGTAATCTACTCAGACTATCTGCACTATTCTCAGATCCAGGTTTGTATTTCAATTCATAACTGTATGCAGTTAGTGTGATAGCCCATCTTTGAATTCCTGGTGAGGCATGCTCAGGTAGGGTTTTGTTTTCTCCAAATAAACCTAGCAATGGTTTATGATCTGTAAAGATGGTGAACTTCCTACCAAACAGAAACTTATGAAATTTCTTAACACCAAAAATGATGCCTAAGCCTTCCCTATCTAACTGAGAATAATTTTTCTCAGCCTGGTTCAAAGATCTACTGGCAAAAGCAATGGGTCTGTCACCCTTCTCATCCATGTGGGACAAGACTGCTCCTACACCATCTGGTGAAGCATCACATGTTAATATAAGTCTTTTCCCTGGGTCATAGTGAGTTAGTAAGGTGTCAGCAGACAAAGCCTCTTTTGCTGTATTAAAAGCAGCTTCTTGTTGTTTACCCCAGTGCCAAGTTGCATTTTTCTGTAGCAGCTTGTACAGTGGTGATAGCTTACCAGACAGATTTCCTATGAACTTTGCATAGTAATTTATCAAGCCCAAAAAAGCTCTTAGTTGTTGGGTATTTTCAGGTTTGGGTGCTTCTTTAATGGCTTTTGTTTTCTCAGGTTGAGGTCTGATGCCTTGTTTGCTCAATATATAACCAAGAAAACTAATTTCTGTCAGCATGAATTGACATTTATCTTTGTTTATCTTTAAACCTTTTTCACCAACAATTTTCAAGACTTTATCTAGTGTTTTAAGATGTTCAGTGTCATTCTTACCAGTTATGTACACATTGTCAAAGTACACACAAACATTTGGAATGTCCTTAAAAATACTGTCCATGACAGCTTGGAAAATTCCAGGGCTGGATGATATGCCAAAACATAGTCTTTCATATTGGTAGAGTCCTTTATGTGTGTTTATTGTCGTATAGACTTTTGAATCTGGATGCAGTTCTAGTTGAGTGTAAGCATGACTAAAGTCTAATTCAGTGAATTTGTCTCCTCCTGCCAAATTCAAAGAAATTTCCTCAATGTTAGGTATAGGGTACCTATTTAGCTCTATTTGCTTATTCAGTGTAGCTTTATAATCTCCACAAATTCTTATAGAACCATCCTTCTTTAACACTGGCACAATGGGTGTCGCCCAATCGGAATAGTCTACCTTCTTTATAATGCCATTAGATTCCAATCTACTTAGCTCATTTTCAATTTTATTCCTCATTGCATAAGGTGGAACTCTAGCTTTGCAGTATCTTGGATTTGTGTCTTTAATGCTTAACTTCACTGTTCTATCATTTAGTAATCCTGGATTACCAAAAACACATTTATTTTCAGATATAACTTTATCTAGTGAAGTAAGACTAGATTCTTTTACATTCTTCAATGAACAAATACTCTCCCAATTTAACTTAAGATCACTTAACCAGTTCCTACCTAGTAATGGCGGTCCATTTCCTTCAACCACAAGAAGAGGAAGTTTAACACTTTGACCATTATAATTTACATGAACCATACACTCTCCTATTACCGGAACATTGTCACCAGTGTATGTTGTTAGACACTTGTGACATGGCTGTAGA